AGCTGGGGTCCTTGTATACCCTTTAGGAAGTACAGAAACCTGGAATTGTTCGTCAGTATTAGAGAGTGTACATTTTCGTTTTCTTTGGGCAAGGTTTTCTTTGGGAAAGTTGGTTACTGTCATCAGTTTCTTGAAGGATTTGTCTGAGTAAACGATAAATGAGACTAGAGATTAATATGGAATGTGGCTTGAGAATAGTTTGAGTTTGACTTCTTGGATCCTGTTATTTCCACTCCTGTTTTACCTGATACAGAAATTCTTTTTACCGTCACTGGCTGTTGGTTGCGTCCAGATTGGAATCTATCATGATCTAGTTGTGATTAGGTGAAAAAAGTAATATTACAGAGGGCTACTGGCTGTGTGGGAGAAATCATTACTATTGTTGATTTTTGCCAGCCGTCAACTGTTAAAACCTGAGCCTCTGTCTCCATGTTGTCAACTCACCATATATTAAATTGCATACTGTGGACTTAGAAAATTTTAATGACCTAGTTCCTGTCATCTAGAGCTAAGTTGCCTTTGTCTGAACCTCCTTTTATTTTTCCATTGTCCCTCTCCCTTTTAAGTTTCTTCTTATTTTATTTTCTTCTTAGTTCCCCTGCATTTCACTCCTGGTCTCCTTTTCTCCTCTTCTTTCCCCTTTTTATATAACTCTGTTGCCTAAGTTGGGAATATAATGTGAATTTGAGGTCTATTGCTATTGTAATTATTTATTAAAATTTATATTGCCTCTTAAAAATAAACAAAGTATTCCAGTTACTTGGGAGGCTGTAGCAGGTAGATGAGACACTTTGTCAAAAATTAAAGTTGAGAGGGGAGTGCTGAGGATGTAGCTCAGTAAAGAACACACTAGGTTCATCCCCCAGTTCCACAAGAAAACAAAACCAAACCCAACAACACTCGAAGAGCTGGGGGCCTGGGGATTTAGCTCAGTGGTTCCCCCACCTCTCTCGCAGGCGCAAGGACCGGAGTTTGATCCCCGGTACCAAAAAACCCCCCAAAACTCAAAGAGTTGAACTATGATAATTTTCTCTTTAACAGAGTTTATATCATTAATGTGAACCAGACTGTACCCCTAATGCTGGCACACATATCTACGTGTTGGTCTTTAGTTATATGAGCCATGTTTTGATTATACTAGCAAAATTATGTATTTGACTTGGAGCAGAATCGAATTGACCAAAAAGTCTGTAGTTTTCATAGATATACTTTGAGTTGATTCTGACGTTGTATGTTGTCTCTTCAGTTTTTATGACTTGTTGCTACATCTTTATATATGCTTTGTTTTGTATTCCTTTATGCTTTTTCTTACAAATAAATGTCTTGGGATAAAGATTTAGGACTGTTGGGTTAAAGGAATGGAAACATTTTCTTGATTCTTAATGTTAGTCTCCTCTAAATGAAGATTGAGACCCAGATGAGCTCAAGTGAAGGGGAATTGAATTGTGTGAAGGGAATCCCATGGAAGTCCGAGGACAGGAAGCATGATGCCTCCAGGTCTGTGTGGAGCCTGGAAAAGGAAACTAGAAACTAATCAGCACCTTTGAGGAATCAGTATTTCATTGTTGTGTGGTTTCAAACTAAATATTTGCTTCTTTTCTGTACTGGTGGACAGTATTACTCTGCATTACTGTGCTGGGTAATAGATTCTGCTTTCCCACGTCCTAGGTTTGCATAGGGCTTGATCTCTTTTTTTCAGCTTGTATTTGCTGCTAAATTCCATTGCCTCTTCAAATCCCTGGCCAAGAATGGGATAGAGGTGGGGCTGTTAGGAACTGGGCTGCACTGCCGGAGGTGAGTGGTGGGCAAGCTAGCGAAGCATCTGTTTACAGCTGCTTCCCATCACTGGATTTACAGGCTGAGCTCTGCCTCTTGTCAGATCAGCAACAGCGTTAGATTCTCATAGGAGCAGGAACTCTGCCATGAACTGCACATGAGAGGGATCCAGGTTGGATGCCCCTTATGCTAATCTAAAGTACACAATGTAGTACTAAAAATAGAGCACACAATAAATGTAACTTGTTGGAATCATCCTGAAACCACCTCACCAGCATTCCTCCACCCACGCTCAGCCTTATGGAAAAACTGTCTTTCAGGAAACTGATCCCCGGTGCCGAAAGCGTCCAAACAGCTGTCTAACTCATTGTTTTGTCTTCATTTTCCTCCAGCCAAGTAGAACAGGCAGTGTGTATCCTGTGGATATTATGTTTTCTAAAAAGCAAAGAACTGTTCTTTAAAAGCATTCTAATTGACCAGTTATACTTAGGCATGGTAAAATCTGTCTAATCAATTTAGAGACTAGATAGTTCATGTAATATGAATTATCAGGGAGGAACAATTCTACATAAAGTATCTTTAAGTATTTTGTTAATGTACAATTCCTTTTTTCCTTCAGTGTATTAGTCTTATAAGTCAAGGATTATGTTAGTGCTATTTAAAATTTGCTTATGGAGATGTGAAATGTTAAATATTGAGTCTGTTGAGCAAATTACTTTTTCCTCAGTTTCTGTTTCTATTTTCAGACTTGGGTCATTGCCGGTATATCTTTAATCAAATATATTCTGTATTTTAAAATGGGGTATAAATTAATTGAAAGACAAAGTTAAATTTACTAAACTCAAGTTAATTATGTTAACAGTGTAAGATACTTATTCTTTCTTGGTAGTTAACAGACAAATAAATAGCTTTATTTGTCCTAAAATTCATAAGTTCTGTTAAAATGGTTCTGATGAAGCCTTATAGTCAATAAACTCAGATTTATTCAACTTAAACGCATATGTTTTCTAAGGTCTAAAATAAAAATAATGATCTAGGTATAATCCCCCCCGCCCCAATACTGGGTATCAAATCCAGGTCCTCACTCACTCTAGGCAAGTGCTCTAGCATAGAACTACAACCCACCTCCTTTTTATTTTGAGACATGGTCTTGATAAATTGCCTACTTGACCTCAAATTTCCAGTCTTCCTCTCTCATCCTTCATAGTGGCTTAGATTATAGGTACGTGCCACCTTGCCCTGTGGAATTTGTTGTTTTTAAACTGTTACCTGTTTTAAGAGGTAACTTAAGACTGATACTTTAAAAAGACTGATACTTTAAAAACTTTAAACATTTTCAGACTTGTTGTCTTACTTTTCTTATTGCTGAGACAAAATACCCAACACCCAAAGTTAAAGGAGGAAAAGTTTATTGTAGCTCTCAGTTTGCTGACTCCAAGGTAGGGTGGCATGGCAGAGGCCCATTACAGAGGAGAGACAGTTCATTGTGGGCAGAAGGCATCAAAGTAGTGAAGAAGCAGCAAGCAGAAAACGAGGACACTAGCCCTCTTTCTATCTCTTATGGTCTATGGACCACGTGCCCTTAGGGCGGGTAGCATTCACCCTAGGGTGGACTTTACCATTTTCCACACCCAGAGCTATTCCAAACCAATCAGTGGACTGATCCTTAATGCAAGCATCACGCACCCTAGATCCAGCCACCTCTGAAAAGCCCCACCAGTGACCACATGAGGATTTGAAGAAACATTAGACACAGGCTGTAACACTTGAACATTAAAAGTGCAAAAGTTAAGTCGCTTTAATTTGCTTTATCCTAGGTATGTCCTTGGATTTAATTACATCTGTGTTAAACATCTCGCTGTTTTTCACAACAGACTTTAGATGACAGAATATAAGCCACTTTTTTTTTTTCTTTTTTAATACTGGGGATTGAACCCAGGGCATTTGCATTGAGCTATATTCCCAGACCGTTTATTATTTTGATACAAGGTCTTGCTAATTAGGCTTGAATTTGTGATCCTTCTCCCTCAGTTTCTCGTAGCGCTGGGATTACAGGCCTGCACCACCATGCCTGGTTTATAAGCTACTTTTATGTGGTATATGCATCCTTATAAAAATATCAGTGTCTAGAATCTGAAGATCAGAGTCATTTAAGATTTGAGATTTTAACAGAAACTTCCTCTCAGGTGAGGAATGCAGTTTTTATATTCAAGGCAGCTATGGAAGGGTAGTCAGATCATACTTTTAAACTTTTTTTCTATAGCTATTACGTTAATCTAAAAGTAGAGCTGACGCTATTGGTGAAGAAATCCTTTTTCTTTTTAGCCCTTGGGTAGAAACAATATTGGCCAACATTGCTTTTGCAGGGTAGCCTGTTTCATACAGTAAGAAATAGTTTGAAAAGAATTAAGAACATAATCTAATTTCAGTTGATCTTAATGCCAAGTGCTGCATCCTAACATTTTGATTTTGACTTTATTGTTTTGTTTTATTTTGGTACCGGGGAGTGAACTCAGGTCCTTGCGCTTGCACAGCCGGCGGCAAAACCACTGAGCTAAATCCCCGGCCCTGATTTTGACTTTATTGTATTTTCATGTCCTTTTTGTGTCCTACCACAACATGAGACTGTTAGTCACAGGAATGGAGATGTTAGCAGTTATTAAATGGTCTTAAATCTGTAAAATGAAATAATGAATTACCTCTCGTTTTTTCCATTAAAATTTTAGTACTGTAGTGAGTATCCAGTGTGTTAGTACTAGTTAACATTTATTTTCACATATAATAGTATCAACATTGTATAATAAAAGAAAAAAGGCTAAATGTTAATAAATTATCTAAAGTGTACCTGGAGGTGTAGCTTAATGGTAGAATACATGTGTAGCGTGCATAAGGGCATGGGTTTAATCACCTGGGTGACACTCAAATACCAAGGATATTAAGGGAAAAACATTTAAGTTCTCTCCCACTAGGATCTTTTCATATGATTTGAAAATGGATGGACACTGGTTGCCACTCTTTTTTCAGTGTCTTTTTTCAATTTTCAGTGAATTGTAGTTGGCAGGGTGATCACGTGTGATTTGAACAGCAACCCTGTTTTGATTTAGACTTATAGATCAGGTTAGATCTGAAATGCCACTTGGAAGAGAGGGGGTTTTATAAATTTAATTTTTATAAGACTGAAGTTGTTTCTTGTTTCTTTTTCTTTTTGTCACCCCCTCATTTAGGTTTTCATAGGTTCACATTAACAAAAGCACCATGGAGTTTTATGAGTCAACATATTTTGTTGTCCTTATTCCTTTAGTAGTTATTACAGTAATTTTCCTCTTCTTCTGGCTTTTCATGAAAGAAACATTGTATGATGATGTTCTTGCAAAGCACAAAAGAGAACAAAAGCTTGTTCCTACAAAAACAGACAAAAAGAAGGCAGAAAAGAAAAAGAATAAAAAGAAAGAAATCCAGAATGGATTTCATGGAATGCATGAATCTGATTCTGAAAATGTACCTCGAGACTTTAAATTATCTGATGCTTTGGTTATAGAAGATGACCAAGTTGTACCTGTTCCATTGAATGGGGTTGAAACTTCAAGTAGTATGAGGGAAAGAAAGAAGAAGGAAAAGAAACAAAAACCTTTTCTTGAAGAGCAGTTCATCAAAGAAAGTGATGTGTCAAAGATTCCTGGCAAAAAAGTAGAACCTGTCCCAGTTACAAAACAGCCCACCCCGCCCTTTGAATCAGCCATCTCAAAGAAGAAAGCAGGGCAGAAGAAATCTAAAAATGGAAACGGTATTGTGATCTATTTAACTTTATTATATGATATTTATGTTGAGTCTGAAGCAAGATTATTCTTTTTGCTGTGTGTTTGCTTTCATTAAAATTGATTGCTAACAGGAATGAGTAATGGCTCTATGAATCAGCATTGTAAACTTTATATTATAAATATGGAAAAGGCCTTTAATGGAAATCTGACTGGTTATTTTCCTAAAACCATTAAGGATTTGTAGAGATCAGCAACTAGAAACTTGTGTATTTATTTCAACCAGTCTTTTCTAATCAATGTGGTAAGAATTAAAAATGAGTAAATAAGACTGTTTATCAGTCTTGATTAATTTTGCAAGCATTTATCAGTCTGTTATGCTAGGCATTATGCTTGAAACTATTGCTGCAGAGGTGAATAGTGCGTTTTCAGGGTAGTCTACAGTTAGTTGTAGATGCACACAAAAATAGGTCATTATAATTTAAAAAGTTTAGTATCATCTGGGTATGCCTAAATCTTTATGGGAGTTCCAAAGGCAGGTCATTGTGACATATAGTTCTAGAAATTAAAGTTAAAATAGGTGCCAGCTATGATTTTTAGGGTGGTTAGGGAGAGATGAAATAGAATATTGAAGAGGTGTATGTATGTAGGTATAGTCAGTCCATCGATTCCATGTCCTTGCATTCAACCAACTGTGGATTACAAATACTCAATAAAATTGTGTCTGTACTGAAAATGTACAGACTTTTGTCTTGCCATTATTCTGTAAATAATGCAGTATGACACCACTTTATATAGCATTTCCATTTTCTTAGGTATCATGAGTAATGTACTGATGATTTGAAGTAAATGGAAAGATGTGTGTAGTTATATGTAAATACCGTACCATTTCTAGTGGGACAGGAGCATCTGTGGATCTTGGTGCAGGGGAAGGGATTCTGGAACTAATCCCCATACTCTGCAGTGAAGAGGACTTGAGAAGTCGCAAGGGATGTGATGTGTGACAGCAACAGTTTGCTTTGGATGAAGGGACTCATCATTTGTCCATTTTAACTTATAGAGTGTTGACTTATTTATATTGGATTTACAATATTTACTTGGTACCTGTGACCAAGCATGGTAGTAGAGAAAGAGAGTAAGTACTACATGTTTTAAGGAGAGAGGATATGTAAACTAGTAACAATGTGAGTTATGTAGAAAATGTATAGAAAAAAATAACAAAGCCTAGAAGAAATATAGAAGCCAAAGCAAACTCATGGGGACTGGGAAATAAAAGACTTTAACAGAGGAAGCAGTGCCTAAGTTGAGTCTTCAAGACTGAATTTCTTCATGCAAGTAATGGGTCTCATCCCACACTGACAAAATATCATATGTAAGGGGCAGAAGTACAAGATTACAGTGTATCATTGAGCCATGAAACGTGAGAACAAAACAGGCTTTTGTGTACCATCCCAGGATCTGGGACTTTGTAGATTAGCCATTGTTAAAGATTTTCAAGCACATTCGTGATATAGTTAGTTTTATATTGTATTTTAGAAAGAATTCTTTGGGAGAACTTGTGAGCATGAATTTCATACAGCAGTATTTGAAGTAGACTCTTTAAAAGGTTACTATAGTTTTCTAAAGTTAAGTTGCAGGCCTGAGCTATGACAAGAGACAGAACTAGAAAGTAAAGAGGTATACAAAGTAAGAATAATAATGTGACTAACCTTACATAGGGGAAGAAGATAAAGAAGACAGGATCAGAGCCAATCTTCCAAGATCTGAGTTAGGTCAGGGTGTACAAGTTGCAACCTGTAAGTTACATCTGCCCTTCTCCTGTTTTGGAGAAACAGACCTGTGAGCAAAGAATCATTTTTGCATTTTAAATGGTTGGGAAAACCCCCAAAAGAATATGTTGAGAAATGTGAAGATTATTAATCAAACATCAGTGTCCATAAAGAGAGTTTTGAACACAGCCAATCATTTGTTTACCTACATCTGGCTTTCAACTGCAGTGGCAGACTTGAGTAGTTGCGATGGAATTGGTATTTACTATTTGGCCTTGACCGAAATTGATTGCTACATGGTTGTTAACATTAAGATACAGAATATTGGAGAGACTGAATATGAACGGAGAGAATGCTTTCAGTTTGTGTTTCAGGTGCTTATGTGGGCCATCTACATAAGAGAGCAATTCATGGGTATGTAAGTACAGAGAGTGAAGGCTGTATGACATGTTCAGGAGCCTTAAGCATGAGGGTGATACTTGAAGATGATCCAAGGAATAGCAGCATATGAGGCATTCAGTGGAAGCAGTTAATAAAGGAGGCTACAAAAAATATCGTGTAAGAAGAGAATTAGGGGAGCTGGCAGACTTTTTATTATGGTAAAATACATATAGCATAAAATCTGTTTTTAAGTGCACAGTTCTCTGGTGTTAAGTACGTTCACATTTTATATAATCACCACCAGGAATCCCCCAAATTCTATCACTTTGTACGCATTAAACACCAAAAAACAGGAAATTCATTTCCCTCTTTCCAGCCCGTGGCAACCACCATTCTGTCTTTATGAATCCAACTATTCTGGGAACTTAGTATAAGTGGAATCATACAATATTTGTGCATTTGTGACAGTTTTATTTCACTTAGCCTAAAGGAGAGGAATTTGGAGGGTGAAAACCAACAATAAAATTCTAAAGAGTAGTTAAGTAAGGATTAACAGATAATATTTGTAGAGTATGCCATTTGGGACCCCAGGCAGCAGAGTTAATGCTTTCATGGAATGGAAGAAATAAAAGTCAGATTGGGATTAGTTGAAAAATTAGTTGAAAAATGATGGGTTGAAAAGAAAGTAAAGCTTATTCTTTTGTGAGTATAGGAGGAAGTGGGTGTGGGAGGTTGGAAATTACAGTGCTGAGGAAATGGCTTATTTTTTAAACTGATAAGAGACTTCACTATGCCACAGGCTAAGGACTGGGAATGGCTTTGGAATAGGATATTCAAAGAGGGCAAGTACATTGAAGAGCAGATGGAGTAAGAAAGCTAGCATGAATATTTGTTGGTGAGAAAGCTAATAAGATTTTCCTGGTAAAGCATTCTGGAAATTATTCATTACTAATTGTGTCTTTTCTGGTTTGTTCATTGTTTGGTATGATGATTTTCTTTTCATTTGTATTCAATAAAGATGACCAAGATAAAAAGGTGGAGACTCTGATTGCACCACTGAAAAAGCAAGAAGTACTACCATTCCACCAAGAGACTAAACATGAAAGTGGATCAGGAAAAAAGAAAGTTTCATCAAAGAAGCAGAAGACAGAAAATGGTGACGTGTAGATAATGTGTTTTATAAATGCTAATTCTAGAGAAGTAATAGAATAGAGACCCTGGAGATGTCATGTGCTTTTTAAATACCAGTTTAATGTGTGCTGCAACAACCATAGTTCTAATATAAGTCTAAAATTCTCTTTAGCCTTGTGGCTTTACATTGCTTTGATAGACTGAGTATAAGTATGTGATGAAAACATTTATCTGAATTTTAAAAAATTTAAAAAAATTTTTCGGTTTTTTGAGACAGGGTTTCACTTTGTAGTGCAGGATGGCCTTGAACTCACTATGTAGCCCAGCCTGGCCTCAAACTCCCAGTGACCCTCCCGCCTCAGCCTCCTAAGTGCTGGAATTACAGGCATTCACCACCGTGCCTGGCTGTTTGAAATTTAAAAATGACAGCACATTTGTCTTTATTCTCATTGTTGGCCTTGAGAGAAAATATCATACAAACTCTGTGAAGAAAAAGTATTTGTACTTTTTGTATCTCTTAAGATTTTGCCTGAAGACATTTGCTGGATGCAGCATTGCCCTTCATTTTCTATTATTTTATAAACAATTTGCATATGTTTATGCTAAGAATACAAATAAAAGTGACAGAGCAGTATTACATTTTCAGAGTTTTCCAGGGTATAAACTTGGGTATAAACTTTATGTAGATTTAAATGTTAGCAATTTCCAAATAATATTGGGCTGTGATATCAACTAGTAGTAAATTTGGAAAGGGAAAACATGAAATTTTATTTGCATTTTATGACATACCAAGCACCAGGTATGAGTGAAATATTGCCTGAATATACTTGAGTATATTACCTGAATATACTTGATAAAGTTAAATATAATGTTTTAAATAATGGAATTACATATGCACAAAAGTTGTTTTTTTAAAGGTAGAATATGCAGAGATTTCCATCTGTGTGTAAAAGTTTGTATCACTTACCAGCAGATGTCAGATATAAACTCTTGAGTTCTTTACATTAAAATCAGGAACATAATAAAGAGGCTTCCTTCTTCCACTCTTAAATGTTATTGTGCAAGTTTTGGCAAGTGTAGTAAGATGTGCTATGAAAATTAGAGGCGTAACTGTTAGAAATGAGAAAACACCTGCAAGGAACAGTGACTGTGATATTTGTACTTACCATGTTACAGAGACTTAATTAAAAATTATCAGTTACGATAAGAATTCAGTAAAGTATTAACATAAATAAAAATTAAGTGTCCTTAAGCACTAATGAAATGTGACTAGATTTTTATGTTAAAGCAGAAAAATTAAATGATCTATCTAAAGGATTTCTAAGAAATTTACAGATACTGTTAAGAGCAGCTATACTGCCCAGTTTTAGATGACTTAAGTGGTTTGCTATAAAATAGTAATATTGAACTGGTACTTTCAAATAAAAAGAGTTTCTGCCTCGTTAAATAAGGTAAGAATTTAAAACCAAATTGAACTAATATTGGAGATTAGGAAATAAATGCATTTATCATTAAAGTATGCTTACATGTTGTTTAATTACTCTTTTCAAAATCCCAAGTAATTTATGATTTTGTTGAACTTAAATTGCAGTCTTGGTAGATGAACCCCTTCTTCGTGCAAGTACTTATATTCCTTTGATGGATAATGCTAACTCAAGTCTTGTGGTGGATAAGAGAGAAGTTATTGATCTCAGTAAACCTAACCAAATAGAAGGGATCCAGAAATCTGGGTCTAAAAAACTGAAGATGGAAACTGTCAAAGGTAATATACAGAATGTCTTAATCTGTTGTATTGTAAAAGCACATTTTGAGTTCTGATGGAGTCAAGTACACTTTGCAAAAGACTAAAAGAATCCTTCTGGTAAAAGATTTGGTAGTCTTCTAGTCCATTCTTCTTAATTTTGTTGACCTGAACATTGGAATTTGACTTGGTCGAGGTCCTACAGCTATTTTGGCAGTATTTTCCTTGGTACTGTTATCTCCTGTGAGATTTTCAGGCTGATTCACAACTGCTGGTTTTAGTTGTTCTTGGTGGTGGTGTTTTTTTTTTTTTTTATTAGACTGTTAATGTACATTTTTAGGTTAGGTTCACAGCACAATTGAGTAGAAGTAAAGGGTTCTCATATGCCTCTTAACCCACACATGCATGTGCCTGCATAAAAAACTTACAGTGTAGTTTAAGTGTTAAAAACCTAATGCTCTTTTGGTCTAATGGATAGCAGTTCTTTTAGGAAGGGGAATTTTGTGCCTAATATGGGAGCCTTGGGAGAATTTGGGTGGGTGAGTGAATCCAGGAGGTATATAATTCATGAATTGTTTTAATGTCAGGTTTGCATATTGTATTAGCTTTCTTGCTTCTGGGACACAATACCCAAAACCTGCAACTTAAAGGAGAAGAGGTTTAATTTGGCTCATGGTTTTATGGATTCAGTCCATGGTCAGCTGGCACCAAGAGGGAATCATGGTGGAAAGATGCGGTAGAGCAAGCATGTTCAGTTCATGGTGGCCAGGAAGCAGGGCAAGGGGAATGGTGTCATAGGGTAGGGTTGAGGCGCCAGTTATAGACCCCCCACAATCATGCTTCCATGCCCTACCCAAAAACACCCAAAAGTGTGTTTTACTGATTCCCTGGGTAGCTTCTAAGCCAATCAAGTTGACATTCTACCTTAACCATTGTGCTTGTATGTATTTGTTCTTTGCAGAATCAGATTTCACTTTTATTTAATTATTTTAGAGCTTATTTTCTCATCTGTGGAATTTGGTGTATGTATGTCTCAGGATTAAAAGGATATTATGAATATATTCAGTGTAGATAGTAGCATATTGTAGATACTTAAATGGTATTTTTTAATAGGTGAAGGCATATCGTTACTTTAGCAGTCTGCAAACTTCTAGGTAATGTAATTATTCCATAATATAGATGATAAACATGTTTTTCCCTCTTGACTGGAGCATTTGTTACTTGACCAGAAGTGCAAATATTTTCTCTTGGTAATTGACTTTCTAGGCCATGAATTCTTATTACTTATCCTTTCTAAAGTTATTAGCTGTGCCTTCTAAGTGCCAACTCCTTTTCTTTTTAATTAAGAAAATGCTGAAGTGAAATTTAAAGATTTTCTTCTGTCCTTGAAGACCATGATGTTTTCTGAAGATGAGGCCCTTTGTGTGGTAGACCTGCTGAAGGAAAAGTCTGGTGTGATACAAGAGGTTTTAAAGAAGGTAATGTTTTTGTTATGGGCATATTTGTAAGCAATAATTAGAAGTTAATCGAATAAGACTTCTACCAGAGCAATCTACTCTTGTCCTTAATATTAAACCACATAGTCATGTCTAAAAGTTTTGGAATGCCTTCAAAAATATTTCATATATTCACACTAATTAGTATGCTGACTTAGTCAAGCATTCTTTGGATCATCTGATGCTTTGACAAAAACCAGTTGTTTAAAATAACTAAGATATCCCTGGTACGGGGGCGGGGGGAGAAAAGAAGATAATTTTTGTAATTTTAAAGTCATTTGGCACTTGACTAAGCTGACTAAAACTTTGAAGCCAAGGTCAGATAATTTCTGATAGCGTATGTGGAATGTTTTTGTAATCCCACATTTAAAGAACCTAAGAACCTTTGTTATTTAGAATATGCATGCTTGAGTGTATGTGATATTTCCCTTTAATCACCTACCAGTCCAAATATTTAAATACAGGATGACTAAATACTGCATCTTTTGGTTTATTTTAGAAGATAATACAACAGGGAATATAAAAACCAATTTTATCAAATTTTTTTGATAATTTTTCTGTGTATGGTTTCTCTTACAACATTCAACACCTGCCTGAGCAACGCTGGTAAGCAAATGTGCTGCCTGAGTAACGCTCAGGGTAAACTTTTTTTTTTTTTTGGTACCGGGGATCAAACTCAGGACCTTGTGCTTGCCAGGCAGGTGCGGTGCCACTGAGCTACATCCCCAGCCCAAGGTAAACTATTAAATCGTTAAAAACAAAGATTTGAGTGGCAGAGTCCATAGGCTGACAAAAAATTTGTAAGCAAAAAAACCTCAAAACAAAAGACACCCATGTAGTTAACATTATTCTCATGGCTCATAGTGTCACATGTACTGTGTCATATTGGGAAAAGTGAGAAGTTTTCAAATTTTACTTCCGTAAGGTAAGATGACATTGAATCTGATATTCAGTATTATGATTGATGACTCTCCTTATTCTGAAAACATGCTTTGCACACACATGGACACCCCACCCACTCACGTAGCTGTTTTAAACCTTGAGCGGTTTAAGTTTTCTAAATTACAAAGACTACTCCTGTCTGAATCATTGCCTCTTACCTGATGACCTGCAGTAGTCTCCAAATTGATGTTTTTCCTATCCTCTTAGCCCTCTAATCTATTTTCCCCACATAACTGCAACGTGACCTTTAAAAGGTGAATCAGATCACAATATTCAAAACTGTTGTTAAAAAAATCTTGTGCTTTTCTCTTCACATATAGTGGATAATCTCAATTCCTTAATAGGCTTATGATTACTTTTCTCTACAGCCTTATCTGATGAAATTTCCCCTTCACTACATTTCACCCATACTATGCAGTTCTTCTCTGCTTCTAGCTATCAAACTTTTTTCTTTTGTCTCCCTACTTTCCCAATTTCTTCCTATGGTTAATTCCGCTTTCCTTGAATATCATTTTCTCATATAAGCCTAACCTGAATTTGTAGTATAAATTCTTCTCCATTATTTTCTCTCATAACTCTGTGAACTTCTTGCATAGCATTGATTGTAGCATTATAAGTCTGTACATACTTCCACGTATCTTATCGACAGTGCATTTTACAAGTCTGTGGCATTTTACAGTACAGTATCCTGGCTAGACTGTCTCTGTGTATTGCCAGTGATGGCTCAGAGTAAACAAAGAGTTCAAGGGCAATCAGTAAATGTAACTCAGTGTGATTTTGAATACAAAGTCAGATTGTTATGTTGTAAGGAACTTTCTTGATATTCTTGATTGAAGAGTTTATCCTTTGGTTCACTTTTTATAATTATGAGTATCTTTCTAAAGAGTTCTTAAGTTATTTGTGGGGATTGGGAAAAGCTCCTTGCAGGAGAAAATCTCCAGGTGAAATTATCACATTCATTACCACTTAGCTATGGTGACTAAGTATGTTGCTAGTGGCTTATGAGAGTAAGAGTAATGGTTTTATTGTTCGAGACAGCTTTGAACTCCAAAGACCTGGATGGTGCATCAGACCACCATTGATTTCTGTTTCAGGTAGGCCTACAAAAAAGTCAGGAACTTGTTACAGATAGCATTTCATATAGGACAGTGCTTTGAAAATGTTCATACTGTGTTGTGTCTCTCCCCTATCCCCCAACCCGCCCCATTTGAATTTTGGTTAAAATCTTCTTGTTTATGATTTTTCCTGAGTGGTTCTGTTCTCTCTACTAGACTTTGCTCTTATAGGTTTCTTTGATTAGTTTTTGTTGTTGTTCCCTGGTACCGGGGATCAAACTCAGGACCTTGTGCTTGTGAGGCAGGCGTGCTACCACTGAGCTAAATCCCTCCCCCCTTCTTTTTTTTCCCCACTGAGTTTGTTGGTACATTTTAGGTATACAGTGCAGTTATAGTCATCATTGGGATCTTGCACTTTTACACGATGTAACCCTCGCTCCTTCCTAAAGGTTTCCTGTATCTGAGAAATACTAGTTTCTCTCTTTTGTTGCCATAGATACTGACTTTTTAATAGATTTCAAAGTCTTAGATGTAAGTGGATCCTCATCCTAATTCAGACTACTTCAGGGTAAGGGGGAAGGTATGACAGGGTAGTTATGGAACTTGCTAACCAGTTAAGTATAGTGACTAATAAAGGATCTAGCATGGTGCTTTTCTTTTAGTAACTGGATAGATTGTATTTGTGAACACTTTGTAGAGGAAGAGAGAGTAAAATGATTGTGAAAATTTAGAAAGTTGTTTTAGGCATCCTATGTGCCATTTAAGTGGATGTAGTCATTTTACAGTTAAATGTGTATTTCTCTGGAGTTGAAGAAAATTTATAATGGGAGTGATTTGGAAATGTTATCCAGTGTCACCAGTACATATAGTTGTGGGAAATGATGAAAGCTAGAGAATAAGCCCTGAAAGCACCAACGTTTAAAGGTTAAGGAAAATCACCATAGGAGATACTGAAGAGGAGCAGAAGTAGAAATGTCAGGGCATATGAAATCCTAGAATTTAGGAGGATACAGAATTCAGGGGCTGGGGAGAGCCAACAGTGTCACACACTCCATAGAGGAAATGGAAGGTAAAACTTGAGGACTGGGCTTTGGTATTCTTAGTGAAAGCAGTTTTGTTTCAGAACTAGACTGTAAGTAAGTGAATGAACAGGAAGGGTGACTGTAAGTGTCCACTCAGAGTAAACTTAGTTGGGAAGAGAAAGGCAGAGGAAAGGTTGGGGGGTTGCCCTTATAGATGAGATATTATGCTATTTGTGTGCACAAGCCCTTGTGTATAAGCTAGAAGACAGTTGTTTTGTATGTGAAATGTAGGTTAAGATCTGGATTCTAGTGTCAGGATTTTTGAATTAAAATCTGGGCTCTGCCACTTTGAGTTTTGTACCTCTGGATAAGTTCCTTAACTTTAGTGGCTCTATTTCCCCATTTCTAAAATGAGAGTGATTATCAGGCTTTGAGAATTACAGTGAGATAATGCATTTTAGGGTTCTACCATACAGTAAATGTTAGTCGTTAGTGTGGGTACCAGTAAGAAAATGTTTATTACTGACTTTTTAAGTATTGGTATTTGAGTATACTTGCCTCAATTAAATGATTTTTTAAACTTTAAACTTTTTTTTTCTTTTTTGGTACCGGAGATTGAACTCGGGTCCTTGCGCTTGCGCAGCAGGCAGTGAAACCACTGAACTAAATCCCCGGCCCTAAGCTTTAAACTTTTAAGTTTTGACTTCATATGATGGACTACTGGATATGCTAATTTTTTTCTTTACCTTCTTTCTTCCTTAACTCTGTTTTTATTTATTATAGGTTTTTGTTTGTCGGATGCTATGGTATCTGTTATGTGAATATAATTCTCATGCTTGTTGTAGCCTTAATTCTATAGTTTAATGATGGGTTGAAAGCTTGATGCCAATTCTTTGCCATAGATGCTTTTTCTTTTCTTGGTTGGATAAAGTTTTTCCTTGAATCTGTTCAATAAAATCTCATGTTTTTTATATTTCCAAAATTTTGTGAAGTTATGATACTTCCTTTTTGTCTTTGTTCTTGAATGATAGTTACACTATTTTCCTTTTTAAAATGTAGAGATGTCTTATTGTTATGTTTTACTCTTTCATTGAAAAATTTTAAGGCATTTGTTTTATTTTTCTCTGTATTCATATAGCTGAGCAGAGGTCTGAGGCCGGTGTACATTTTGTACTTTTTTTATGTATTTCTGTCTGCACTCTTACAAAGAAAATAGTATTTTTGTTGTTGTTTTGAGGATACTAGGGATTGAACCCAGAGCTTCATGTGTGTTAGGCAAGCCCCTAAAACAGTGATGGCAAACCTTTTTAGAGACCAAATGCCCAAACTACGACCCCAAACCCACTTATTTATCGCAGAGTGCCCTCACTGCAATTAAACCTGAATACTGAGGTTTTAGGTTTAGCAAAAAAAAAAGATGTCCATTTTGATAAAAATCCCCATTATAGAGGGGGTTACCATGTTTTGCTGTGCACACTGAAAATTTGAAAGCTGACAGTTGTCACGTGATTTGTTTTAGTAAGATAGTTGCAACAACTAAGACCCTCGGAATGATTATTTCCTCAGTTTCTCTTCAAGAAACTCCTTTTAGTTTCACCAAGTTCGGCAGCACTTTTGTGGTTGGTGTCAGAGTGCCATCTGACTCTTGGTGGATGGTGATCCACAACGCTTTCACTGCACAGAATGTGTAACACTTTCCCATTGCATTCAGTCACTCCAAATGACTCTGTCCAGATCTCTTGGAATGATCTTCCACTGCTGGTATGCAGCTTTGCTTTGTTTTGCTGTAGTCATTTTTAGGTGTTCAAGATTTGGAGTGTTAAACGCAAATGTTTTTATTAAAACATCGCACATGCACACACACACATATATTGCACATGCACACACACACACACACACGCACACACACACACATATATATGGCAGCACACTGACTAGCCATGAGAAAGCTGGACAAGTCACGGTTAATGAGTCGAGGTTCATGACATCATCACCTGGTGCCACTACTCCTTTTTGAGCATTGCCCCGTGTATGCTGTTATCCAGTGCTTGGCTGCTGGGACAACTTGGCTTGCGTGGGGACAGAGAGGGCTCTGTATGCTCGCTGCGTGACATGTGTCATAGGTTTGCCACCACTGCCCTAAAACATTGATTGGGCATTCAGCCAGTATATTTTTTGTTGAATTTTCCTTTCTGCAGTACTGTGTATAAATCAGAGAGTGAAGTTTCTTTAAAATTTGGCAACAATCTTACTATAATATGGCATGACATTGACCCTTCTGATCAGTTTTCTCTTTGGTAAAGCATGCTTTTCCGTCATTAGATTCAAGTCAACATTTATTACTAGAAAGTTTCGTATGTTCTTTATTTCTGTTTTGTATTTTCTGCTGCCATTTTACTGTCCTGTTCTACCCTTACTGTTTAGGACCATGTCCATTTCTGATTTTTGCTTCTTATTAGGTTATTTCTGGCGCAGTGTTACTTTTTACTTTCACCGTGAGTTTTACCGTTTTGCTTCCCTCATTTTGTGGTCTTATCTTTTCTCTGAAGTCTTTCTTAGGAGCTCTGCTCTTTGCTTTTGTTTTCCAGAAATGACTGCTAGATTACGTTTTAAGAAATCATGGTGATGATTTTATTAGAATTTTTGTCGGTTCTCTGATGATCTTTTTCTTCACTTTGTCATTTATACTATTTTCCTTTTAAAATACATTGTATTGGGCCAGGGATTTAGCTCAGTGGTTCCGGCGCCTACCTCGCAGCGCAAGGACCTGAGTTCAATCCCAGGTACCAAAAAAAAAAAAATACATTGTATAAACCCTGTTTTATTTGCTTGTTTGTGCTCTTTAGATCATCTCTGTGCTGTAGATTGACAGTGGTGAACAGCTAGTGCTTGCCTGTATCACCTGGATCATGGGTACAAAATGTGTCCTTTTGGCCCTTGTTTCTTCCCTTGGAACAGACCAGAACCTTAGTACAGGAAGTCTCTTTCGACTGTCACGCTGACTAGCTGATCACTTTGAGTAAAATTTGTGTGATTTTTTTTTTTTTTTCCATTTTCCTCCATCTGATATTTCCTGCCAAGAAAGTTCCTGCTTTGAAACTACACTTGTTCCTCTTGTCATATGGGCGCTGACTGGGTTTCCCTTTCAGCTTGTGCCTGTTAAATTAAAGAACTACTGTGTGCACCCATTGCTCTTCCATTGAGCTGGGCATTGATTAGGCAGCATGACTGAACACCTGTATTTACTCTGGATTACTTTTGTCTAGTCTTTTTTGGTATACTCTGAGGTTATAGAGGACTGTTTCATTGGTAATAAATTGCCTTTTGGTTTTATATTCTCTCTTTTAATCTAGAACAAAAAGGAAAGAAATTACTATTTTTTACTCTGGGTTTAAAACTAGAAGTTCTGTAATTCTTTGCAAAAATCTGCTTCTTGGGCTGGAGATTTAGCTCAGTGGTACTGCACCTGCCTCTCAAGGGCAAGTTCCTGAGTTTGATCCTCAGTACCAAAAAAACGAACAAACACACAAAACAAAACAAAAAATCTCCTTCTTGATTGACTTTTATCCTTTTGGAATTTATACAGTGACTATATAATGTTACTTCACTGACCAGCTTTTGCTAGTCATTGTACTTTATATTATGTAGAGCTCGGCACTGGCCCAAGAATGCTTGATGACAGATTTCCCATAAGCCCACATTAACTTTTACTAATTCTATATTCATTTCTCAATTGTAGTCAAATAAAGGAGAATTGACTGCACTTCTGCATCAGCTTCAGGAAAAGGACAAATTGCTTGCTGGTGTGAAGGAAGATGCTGCTGCTATGAAAGAGCGGTGTAAGCAGTTAACCCAGGTGAATTATTCTTATGTTCAAGGGATGTACCCCAAATTAGAATCAGTGAAAGGTTTAAAAATTGTCCATATGCCCCGAATTAATTACTTGTATAAGAAATTTACGCAACACGAGGAATTTTATTTTAGAATTTTTGGAGGGAAGTATCTCACTCTCTCACGATATTATACCCGCAGTGGAATTATGGATTTAAAATAACAATGCGTATTATGTATCCTATTTTGAAAATGACAGAAGCATTCTTTTAGAAACATAAGCTTGTGGGCCAGGGATTTAGCTCAGTGGTTCCACGGCCTGCCTCGCAAGAGCAAGGTCCCGACTTTGATCCTTGGTATCAAAACAGAAGGGAAAGAAGATTGTGGCACATGCCTGTACTCCCAGCACTTAGGAGGCAAAGCAGGAGAATCAAGAATTCCAAACCAGCCTGGGCTACATAGTAAATTCAAGGTTCGCGTGGAACATGGCGAGGCCCTGTCTAAGTAAGACAACAGCAACAAAATACCAAAAGCATTTGGAGATTCTTGTGGTGAATATTTATAATTTTTAATCAAGTTTTTAAAACTCCAGAAATTTTAGTCTGAGAGGAAAAATAAACCTGTAAACTATGCAGACCAAGAGAACAGAATTGAAACTATAAAATATGGTCTTCTTCCTGAAGTTCTTGTTTCTTCTTTTGAGGAATAACCCCAGGAGAATACATGAGTTGATAACTCCTGCACCTAGCTATTAGAAGACATCAAAAGAACAAGTGCCTTTGTCTAAATAGAAATCCTTTATGTGATCTGAAGTAAATAAAGTCAGTGGGAATATCTGGTTAGAGTTCTTATAAATATGCTTTCTTACAGTTATTAATTTTAGTGTAGTTTTTTGTGATTATCATGTTTTGACTGTTTAAAAAACTAAAACTAGGTTAACTTTTTTTCCCCTCTCCTCCCCTCCCCTCCCTTTCCCGGGATTGAACTCAGGACCTTGTGCTTGCGAGGCAGGTGGTGGAACCACTGAGCTAAATGAGCTAAATCCCCGGCCCGACTTCAGTTTTTTATAATTTACTGTGATGTATATTTAAGATGTATATTTACAAAACAACTTGCAAATATAAATAAAATACATAAAGTAGTTTACAGGAAACCATATATTATATAAAAATCCCCAATTTTGTCAGATAGTTTTTCAAGCAGGAACATGGGTTCGTTATACCTGCAGATAACATTGAAGTTGTTTGCTTACACGTTCTTTTCCTTCGTGATAAAACTTTACTTTCCCTTATCCCAAACTTCCATAATCTATCGTTATTTCTTCCTTTAGGAGCGCCCCCCCCCCCCACAAGCCAGGAGGCTCCACCAGACATTTTTCTGTATACCAGAAGAAAACTAGTGCCTGGGAATGCTAACTTTTTTTTTTTTTTTTTTGTACCGGCGATTAAACTTGAGACCTTGCGCATGCAGGCACGGGCACCACTGAGCTAAATCCCCAGCTCCAACTAATTGTTTTGCTTTAAAGTATTCTTTATCACAATCATTTCAGAATGTTGGATTTATTTTGGGTTCAGTCTTTAACTCTTATATCAGCGAGTGTATTTGAAGTAAAAGTAAACAAAGTGGCTTTGTGTTTATCAAGAGAATTGGTGTGAAAAACAGGTAGGAAATATTTTTTTTGAAAAACCTTTGACTCCTCTTTCTAAGCAAACACTTTCTCAGTGTTCACAATCGTTTTACCGATGTTAGAAGCTTTCTTATTGTTACGAGCTTATAGCACCTTTTTAGTAAGACATTTTCCATAATGTCTTTTCTGGTTTACTCTTGTAGGAAATGATGACAGAGAAAGAAAGAAGCAATGTAGTTATAGCAAAGATGAAAGATCGGATTGGAACGTTAGAAAAGGAACAAAATGTATTTCAAAACAAAATACATGCCAGTTATCAAGAGGCTCAACAGATGCAGATGAAGGTATAGTTTTACTTTGAAAATAAGATGAACTACATACATTCATGTAACTAGCATCCTTTTAAGTGCTTTGCGTGTTTATGTGCTAGGTCATAGGCATACAAGTGGCTATACTCTTTGGGCTTAGGTAAACAAATTTTCTGCATGGGGATGAAGTAGCGAGGCTGGAAGCAGACAAATAAATACACAGTGACAGTGGAGGTAAATATTGTATATATGGGAAGTGGGCATGAGAAGGACTGACAGGGAAGACTCCTTAGGTGTGATACACAGATTGTGTTAATCTTCTAAATCACTTGTCAGTTGAGATGAAGAAATGGACCCTGGGTAGAAGAGTAACTTGTCATGATTCTTTAGTGCTCAGTGGGTCTCTCTGGGGACATAGGATTGCATTTTTGAAAGAGTACTCTCCAGGTGTTTCCAGTACAGGTGTCGAGTGTTCAGTTATGAGAAGTGTGGGAGGAGTTTTGGTAAGTAGGAACCAGAATTGGAATGAATAAGGAAGAGCTGCAGAAGTAGACAGGGGCATGGTCTCAAATGGACATAAGTGCCTGAAGACTGGGAACCCAGTGAAGGAGTTTAGGCAAGCCTGAAGTGAGACTCACCTGCTGTTTTTAATTATTACTCTCGTACCCACGTGGAGAATGGAACAAGTAGTAAGGGGAAGGCTTTTGAAGCAGTTTAAAAGGCCTGAAGTCAGTTGAGAGTGAGAAGGTTATTTTGAGTAGCACGCCAGAGTGAGTTAGATGGGAGTTGGCATCAGAGGAGAAAGGAGATAGTGGATGATGACATGCACAGTTTCAGCTTAAGTGACCTTTCAAGGTTTTTTGGGTGTTTTTGCTAGTTCATACTCTTTCACCTGAGAGGCAGGTGGCAGAACCACTGAGCTGAATCCCCAGCCCCATACTCTTTCACCTGTTTTTCTTGAGTGTTTCAGGTGGTTCATTTCTTACTGTTTTTCCATGTATCATTCGTTTTCTTCATAATTCTAGTTAGCTGTGAACCAGTGAATCATCTTTCTTCCCCAGCCCCATATCATTGCTAAGAGGCTTTTTTGGGGAATGGTGTACTGTGGATTAAACCCAGGGACTTTGCCCTGAGCTACATCTCCAGCCTTAAAAGCAGTTTTTTGAGATAGTGTCTTGCTAAGTCACTGAGCCCAGGTTGGGGTCAAACTTGGGATCTTCCTACCTCAGCCTCCAAGTGTGCTGGAGTACAGTTGTGTGCCAGCACACTTAGCTGATGCAAGACTATTGAAGAACGTGCCTTGGCTCTGCTTGCCAAAGTAGGCTTATAATATTCCCCTTTATTGACCCTTACTCTGGGCCAGTAACTCTTTAAAATTGTTATTTTCATTTGCTTCACTTTGGAAGGCCTGTCATCACCTCAGATATAACCTGCGCCTAAAAACAAATTCCTGTCTTCATCAGGTTGTTTTTATCTTCCAGGAGTTTCAGGCATTATTTTCCTGGCGCTTGAATTCTTTGCTCATGTGCTTGAGTGTTCTCTCGCACTGGCTCGCTCGCCCCCCCCATTCCTTCTCCCTCCCCCTTTCCTCCCCTCCCCCTCTCCTTCCCTCTCCGCCTCTTTCTCTTCTAGTTCATAAATTGCTCTGAATCTTAAAAATACTTAATTTGTAGTTAACTCTTGCATTCATTTCTTAGATATCTTAGTTTATTTCTCGGTAGGATAATTATACCCCTTACTGGTAGGTTTCTCTTTTCCATTCTAACTTGTGATTGATGTCTGTTTTTTGTAAAACATTACTTTGATCATTATCAGTAGTCTGTTAAAATTTCTATTTCTTTCTTTCTTTCTTTCTTTTTTGATACCAGGGATCAAACTCAGGACCTTGTGCTTGCGAGGCAGGCGTCAGAACCACTGAGCTAAATCCCCAGCCCTAAACTTTTTATTTTTTACGGCTATGAAAGTGCCAGTGTTTTCCACTGAAATGTCACTGATCATAAGTAAGCCAGTGACACCATTGTCACATTGCTACCCTGCCTGATGCCTCTAGCTTTTGTCATACTCCTCTCCCTTCCCATTCTGTAGCCGTTGTAGATACTTTCCTATCAGTCAAGTTATTGAAGAATTGATTTTCCTATCTTCAGTAATTACAGCTTACTTTTGAAAAGCTTTCATTTGAAATTAATTACTTTTAGCAACATCTTTTATTGAAGGTGAAAGATATTTCAATGATTTAATTTCTTGATTACTTACAGAGATGAAAGTATAGATTCTTGGTAAATTCTCTGAAAAATAGGAATACTTTCTCTTAACTAAATTAAGATTACCAATATCTTTTAATTTCTCATGAAAGAATAATATTGTGTATTAAACTAAGAGATGTTCCTATGTGAATATATGATTCAGTGTTCTTTTCTGATTCTGTAATTTTGAAATTAAAAAATTAGATTTCAGAAAAAAATTAAGAGTGTTGGGTTCCAGGGACTAGGAAGAGGGACAAGGGAAGTTACTGGTTAATGGCTATAGACTTAATTACTTTCTGTTTTTTTCCTCTTTATTTTCCTCCTCCTCCTCTCCTCCTCTTCTTCCTCTTCTCCCTCTTCTCTCTTTTTCTTCCTCCTCATCCTCCGCCTTCTTCGTTTATTTTTTGAGACCCTACATAGAACCTTCCTGTGTACTTCATACCTGCCTTGAATTCACAGTGATAGTCTTGGCTTAGCCTCTTGAGTGCCGGGATTATAAGCATGTGCTTTCATGCCTGGCTAGAGTGTCATTTTAAGAGTTACAGAGACAGTGTGGATATATTTAATATAGCTGCAGTTTATAGTTGAAAGTGATTAACCTTGTACATTTTCTGTTATATACATTAACCACAAAAATACCTACACTTCATACTATTTTAGCAAGTAGATTTTTATGACATCCATTTTATTATGGCTCAATTTGTGACATAATAAAAATTGAACATATTTCTGTGTTTCAGTCTTTAGGGCACTAAAAACTTTCATTTGAAAATACTATTTATACATAACTGATGTATTCCAGGATCAGAACAGGCTTAAATTCTGTGAGCGTTGAGTAGAAATTATAAATCAACTTTTAAATTTTTACCTTTATGTGTTTATTTTGTATTTTGAATATGATAGTAGCTAACTTTTATTTGTATTCTTGACTGCTATTGCACCTTCTGTTTACTTTGGATTCACCGACAAAAATACAATTAGACAGGTGTGGTGACGCATGCCTATCGTCATAGGTACTCAGGAAGCAGAGGCAGCAGGACTCTGCCTATAAATTCAGAGCCAGCCTGGGCAACGTAGCGAAACATCTCAAAATACAAAAGGTCTGGGAATGTAACTCAGTGGCAAGTGTGAAGCCCCAGATTCAATCCCCAGTACTATAAAAACAACTTCTTTAAATGTGTTTATATGTATTTGAAAAGAGCACTTCAAATGTTATGCTCTTGATGCTTTTTTATATTCCCCTCATAATAAAATTTTTAGAAAGTGTAGCTTTGTCAACCTTTGTTTTCTAAATCTTATGTGTATAAAATAGTTTCAGCAAGTTCGTGAGCAGATGGAAGCAGAGATAGCTCACTTGAAGCAGGAGAATGGTATACTGAGAGATGCTGTCAGCAACACTACAAATCAACTGGAAAGCAAGTATGTTTCCAAATACTTTCATTTTAATTAAATGGCCACATATTTTCTTAAATGATGAAAATCCTGCTTATAATAATTGGTTAGACTTTTCTTACGTGTGCTTCTAAAATGGAGTTCCTTTTCAAAAACAGTTGTTATGTGAAGAACATTACCTGTATGTAAACTATTATGTTTACATATATGTTACATATTTATTACATATAAATCGTATACTACCATTAGTGGAAAAGTCTCCAGATATGGGAGACTGAATTTGCAAGTTTTAAACCATTTTTTCCTACCAGAGTAGTTCTCAAACTTTATTATCCTATATAGCACCTGGGATGCTAACTTAGAAAACATTCTTAAGTTCTATCCCTAAAATTTTTATGATCCACTGACCTAAGATAGAGCTCAGGAATCTGAATGAAGATACATTCCTCCGAACAGGCATGGTTGGTTTTGAGGCCATTCTTGGAGAACCAGTACCCTAGAGACTAGTACTGTCCTTGCACAGAGTAAGAATTCTGACTGGTTGATTTTAACAGATATTCAAAAGATCATCTTGAGGGTGACACTGAATATTTATGCTCACAAATTTGTGGTTATCCATTTTTCTTGATATTTTATCACAGTTTTAGAATTTGTGTAATTGTCTTTAGCATTATTTGGGAATTATATTCCATCAAATAAGTACTTATTTGTGTTGTACTTTGTTTAAAAATGGAATTATAAGCTCCCCCAAATTAATAAAATGGGTTGTATTTATCTGTTCTTTATATGTGTTTGTAGTAATGGATGGTTCCTAATCCAGTTACTGTTTTCAGGCAGTCTGCAGAACTAAATAAACTGCGCCAGGATTATGCTAGGTTGGTGAATGAGCTGACTGAAAAAACAGGGAAGCTCCAACAGGAGGAGGGCCAAAGGAAGAATGCTGAGCAAGCAGTTACTCAGTTGAAGGTGATACACCCCCACTTTCATTTATCATTTTAGGAATAATGTAGATATTTAATTTGTGGCCTAAGTATGTGTATCAGTTTGAGAAATGTAGTTTGGGGCTTATTAAGAACCATAGCTCTGCTATGTAGCAGTGTGTGACCTAATGAAATAATTGAATATAGGCTTGACTTTGAAGCTAAAGACTGAGGTATGAAAAATGAAATTAGCTGACTGACCAGTGTAAGTGATGGAATTTTATTTTATATGTGGGGATTAGGGCCCTCATGTACCAGGTAAAAATCATGTAGCTAAAATTACTTTTAGTATCATTTTGATATAGGGCATGTGATATATGGACTTTCAAATAATGCAAGGGATATATTATAACTCCCACCCTGCTTGATGTCCTGCATGCCAACTTCATGTTCTCTGAAATCGAAGAATGAACTCTAGGCACAACGGAGCTTAAGAGGAGGAAGAATTTATTGAGAGAAAGATAGTTTCTGTCTAAGAGAAAGAAGGGGACTTAGAAAGTGGGTTGCCCACAAGCCTCACTTCTCAAGGGAGTTTTATAGAGGAAAACCACAAGGTAAGGTGAGTATGAGGTGGGAGCAAAACTATGGTCAGCCAATAAGATTACAGGTATAATCACTTAGGTATCATTGATTAAACAGGGATCAAATGGGGAAGCATGTCACATAGCAAGGATACATGGAACAAACAAGGACATTTCCAGGAAGGAATGGGCTAGGGAAGTTTTGGTTCCCTATCCAAGGTGATTGATACCTATTTAGAATATCAATCACTGCTGTTCATCCCTAGGGGAAGTATGTAGATGTAGTAAATTCCCTTTGCTCTGAAGTCTGGCCTTCAAAGAATGCACCTCCAAACACAGTTGTGGACTGTTCTTATCTTCTGCGTTGACTTCTTTGAGGGCTCAGCCCTGACAGACTGCCTGTAATATTTCTAGGTAACTTAGGTGCCTACAATACTTTTATCATCCTTAAATTGAATTTCTCAGTAAGTCCAATAGAATCTATTTTCTTCCAGGACTGGAATAGATGGGCTTTCCTTTGCTTGAGCATAAGATTAAAGTACTGCCCCTGTAGCTTGAGCTCAAGTCACTGTGCACAAAAGTCACATACTTTGTCTTCAGACACCAGAATGGTACTTGTTGCAGTGAGATGCGTAGGGTGGCTCAGACTGACAGAAGGAGGAGCAGATTCATTTCTCTCATCTTGTTTGCGCTCTGGATGCACTCATGTGGCTTGTATGCATGCCTGTTGAGTAGAATAAGGAGAATTGACTGTTCCTCCCCGTTATGGTTTGCCTCATGTCCTCACAGGCAAGACTTTTGGAAGGTGTTTAAATTATGGGGGCTGTATAGCTGACCTCCTGATAAGAAGTGAAGCCTGGTTGGAAGAGGCAGGTTCTGGGGGCATGACGTGGAAGGGTATATATCTCCTCTCCTGGCTCCTCCCTTCACTTTCTGGTTCCTATCTACCATGAGGTGAGCAGCTTTTCTCCCACCATGCCCCTCTGCCATGCTTTTTCCTCATTGCAGCTAGCCAACCATAAACTGTAATAATAGGTAAAATAAACTCTCCTTCAAGTTGTATGTGTTGGATTGTGTCAGCAATGACAAAAGTAACTAAGACACTCCCTTTATTGAGGGAATCTGGTGGAGATAATAGGTTAGTGAAGTTTAAATGCAACCTCATTAAAGTAGACAGATTCCCACCTAGATCACGGACACAATCATACCTTTAGACTGTGATTGTGAAATGATAAAGAGGATTAAAAGACTTTGTGACTTTCTTTGAAGTTTTCTTGATTCCTGCATGGTATTAATGTCTTCTTTAAAATTGATTTTGCTGGTGGATTAACTGTTGGCTTTTGTAGATCCAGAAACCTGTTCCCCACAGATCTGGGTAGATGACCTTAAAGATTACAGTCATAATTGGAGCACTGTAAAATAAATGTATACAACTCAAAATAAGAATTTTAGTATTCACTGAAATTTAGCAGTGAAGATACCATCCTGTCTTTTTGACACTTACCACTTTAAAAATGATTAGTGGGGAACAAGCCATAGCCAAGTGGATCAGATATATACGTAGTGTGACAAACGGCAGAGGAGTGAGAGACCACCTGAGCAGGCTACTGGTAGGCAATGAGGCACAGACTTTATTCACCTGGGTAGAGGTCGACTGAGGATGAGAAAGCCATCAGTGATGAACAAAGAAACAGCAGAGAGCTTTAGAAGGGCTTGGGGAAAGGGTCTGGCATGTCTGTCACGTCCAGGGATCGAAGCAAATATTTGCGGTTGGGTTCCATGCAGCGGTCAGGGCAGATGTATGGATGTACCTATTCTGTGTTCTGTCTGCCTGGAGAAAGCACAGCCTGTATCTAGGCAGAGAGGACAGGGCTTATATCTGGTCTCTAGCTACCTGAAGGAGTGATGTGTTTTTGCTGAGGGCTGCGGGTTTTGGTATCTGCTAAAACTGTATCTTGGAAATAAACAACATATTTATTAACCAGGTCATGGTCAGATCAGGCCTGACATGTAGTAGCTATCTTGATCTAACAGTACTAATATTGCATTTCTGAAATAATCTCTCCTCTGTTAATCTTCTGGAGGATAGGATGGCTGTAACTGATAAAAAAATGGCAGTCAGACTATGTGTCTCTGTCTTTCTTCTTGAAATGTTGGAGACCAGTTGCATGCAGTAAGCACTTTTAAGATACAACACTACGGGTAGAGGATGCTTTTTTGAAAGTTGAAAAGTCTTTGTTGGTGCTGATTTTTCCTTGCATCCTTTTTAAATATCAAGGTTCAACTCCAAGAAGCTGAGAGCAAGTGGGAAGAAGTTCAAACCTACATCAGGAAAAGAACGGCAGAACATGAGACAGCACAGCAAGGTAAAGGAAACAGGTACTCTTGTAAGCTGTATGTACTTCTGGGTGAAATTTCTTCCCTTCTCCATCTGTGAAGAAAGTACAAAGTGGCATTTTAACTATAGCTCAATAAAAATAACTTTTACCCTTTCAGATTATCTTTATTTTAAACTTAAGAGGGTTTTTTTGTTTTATTTTGTTTTTAGTACATGTTTAAAATACATAGATTACATTCCTTGTGGGGCGTGGGTATGTGTATGTAAACAAATTGCAGTTCTTTTTTCATCGCCTTTCCTACCCCAGCCACCCCCTCCCTGCATCTCTTGATCCCCTTCTCATTTGAAAAAGATCTGTCTTCCTATTATGCATCTTTCATTTTGCTTTTTATGTTTTGAGTTTCTCTTACCGGCTTTGCCTGAAGCATTACATTGTAGGGAAAATTATAGTACATAATAAAGTAATGGGACTATAGCCCTGGGGTTTTCTTCCTCCTCTGTAGTTTTCCCCTTTTGTTTCCTTGAGTACTTCTTAATTTTATGTTTTTGTTATTAAGAAAAGACTCATTTCCTATGTTGTAAAGAGAAAAACAGTGGGAATATTACTGTTTCAAGTTTATATGAAACTATTTAATAAATGGTAAATTTTCCTATTTATTTATTCCTAGTTTGAAAGACCCATATGGGAGATAATGGAGCTTGTATTATGAGTTTTATCTTTGTCTCTACCACTCCCTTTCTACCACAGAAGAGGGACCTATCTAGAATATAGTTTCAGCAGTAGAATAGACAGAAGTTTGGCTTCTTAGGCCTTCGGTTTCTTTTGATTCTCCCTCCCCGTGGACCATTCTTCAGTATCTAAGATAGTTCAAGATCTATTTCTTTGTATATAAAGTTTATATTCATGTTAGGGTATGGTAGCTTATTTTTAAATTAATATTTTGTATTTTTAAATTAATATTTCATATTTCATCTATGAAGCGCAGGAATGTTGCTAAAAGGATTATAACTATATAAATTACATAATTGTAATTATATAATGATAGACAATAAAACTTCACCTTTAATAATATATACTGTAGAAAAAGCATATAACTATAGACAGTAAAACCTCCCCCTTACTGAAATATGCTGTACATAAATTATATAACTCTAGAGCAGTGGTGGTGAACTTAAAGCATATGTGTTACTTGCTTTACTTTTAAGACAAAGTGTAGGAGTTGTTTTTTCTAAACTAAACCCTCAGTATTCAGGTTTAATGTAGTGCTGGCCCTTTGCACTGACTTAGTGGGTTTTGGGTTGTAGTTTGGGCACTCATCTCTAAAAGGTTTGCCATCACTGTTCTAGATGATGAAACCTCACTTTGTTTTGGTAGCGGGGATCACACTCAGGACCTTGTGCTTGTGAGGCAGGTGTGGCAACCTAAGCTAAATCCCTGGCCCACTTGTTTTTGAGACAGGGTCTCGCATTGTAGCCCAGGCTGGCCCTAACTCAGCTATGTAGCCCAGGCTGGCCTTGAATGAGTGCTGTGGTTACAACAGCCTTGTGCCACCATGCCCGACAAAACCTCACTTTTATCAGAAACACTCACTTTGGAAATTTACACTTTACTTTTAGGGTTTTGCATTTCTTTTGGTGGTGCTGGACATTGCACCCAGGGAATGGTGAGCTGTATACCCAGACCTTTTAAAATTTTAAGACAGGGTCTCTGACAAGTTGTTCTGGCTGGCCTTGAACTTGGAATCCTCCAGTCTTAGGTTCTGAGGTAGCTGGGATTACAGGAATGTGTCACTATTCCTGGTTGTACTCTGTACGTATTCCTACTTATATTGCTTTCTTGATAGACATCTGACTTTCTGTTACAGAAAAGGAGAGCTTTACTCCCCATCACTATTCCCACCTGTCTCTTACTGTTATGATATGGCTATGCATACTTTTTGTTTATATCAGTTTTCATTGTTTTTAATCGCGGTGACTGTATAATGGAGTAAACTGTTATTTTCTTGAGCACTTTATTTTCTAGAACTTACTTTTCTAATTTTTTCACATACTTAATTTTTTGTTTTATTGCTGAAAATTTTACTTTCGTCAAACTTTTTCTTTCTTTCTTTCTTTTTTTTTTTCCCATTAAACTTTTCTGAGTTTATTCCCCCTAACTGCTGCCTCTCAGAATATAAGATACTAGATAGAGTCTGCCAGTTCTTCCTGCTGGTACTTCCTTCTGGAATCTTCAGTTTTTCTACCATAGTACAAATGGTACCTTGGTTCACAAACTTAATTCTTTCCACAATTCTGGTTGCTAACTGAATTGGATGAGAACCAAAAGCAAATTCAATAGTTAGGTTCAGTGTTGACCTTTTAGGGAATTTGGTTTGGTTCTCATCTAGTTTTGTTTGTGATCGGAAACATGGAAAGAGTAAGTTTGTGAACCAAGGTAGCACTGTATTTGTTGCTTTCTGTATTGGCTCCATAGCTGTCTCCTGAGACTTGCTTTTGTTTTTTGCTCTTCTTTTTGGATTCTGGGTCACTGCCGTCTTTCTTGCTTTCCTCTATCCTGTAGTAAAACACATCTTTAGATACTGCAGAAGAGTATACCTCAAAGTACATTTGTGGAAGCCTCGTGTTTCAAAATGTCTTTATTCTACTTTCATACTTGATTGATAGTTGGAGTAGGTATCAAGTTCTAAGTTGAAAATTATTTCCTCCACAGGATTTTTAAAAATTTAATTGGTCTATATTTGTAACACATAATAATCACATTAGTTTTGGAAGTGTGTGTGTGTCTTATTTTGATAATTTTCTGCACCCATTCCTTCTCTTTACCGTCCCTTGGGGTAACCTTTTACTGTTTTTCCCTTCTCCATCTCCAAGAAATCTGTCTCCCTGTTTGCCGCCATCTCTCTTTGTTTTTACTCTTTACTTATAATTTTGTTTTTTTAATGAGAGAAATTATGCAATAATGAATCTTCTGCATCTGACTTATTTAACATAACATGGTCTTAAGTTCCATCCATTTTTCTACAAATAACTTGAATTTGTCCATTATGGCTGAATAATATTTCATTTTATGAATATAGTACATTTTCTTTATCCATTTGTCTGTGATTGGGCATCTAAGCTGCTTCCATAGCTCAGCAATTGTGAATTGCACTACTCTGAACATAGGTGTGACCCTGTCTGTACAGTATGACTTTGACTCTTTTAGAGAACTGCCCAGGAGAGGGATGTCTAGGTCAAATGGAATTTCTATTTTTAGTTTTGTGGTTTTTTTGAGTAATCTCCATATTGTTTTCCCTAATATTTGATTAGTTTACATTCCCACCAACAATGTAGAAGGGCTCCTTTTCACCCCCACATCCTTACTGTCGTTTATTTTTGTGTTCTTGATAATAATAGTCTTTCTCAGGAGCAAGATAGAATGTCAGTGTTGATTTGCATTTCCCTAATAACTGAAGGTGTTGAACAGTTTTTCATGTACTTAATTGGCCATTTTTGCTGCTGCTTTTGATAAGTGTCTGTTCATTTCATTTATCCGTTTTCTAATTTTTTTGAGTTCTTTATATATTTTAGTTATTAGGCCTCTATCAGAAGAGTAGCTGTCAAAATTGTTTTCCCATTTTGAAGGTCCTCTTCACTCTGTTGATTGTTTCCTTTGCTGTGTTGAATTTTTGAAAATTTAATATACAGTAATCTCATTTGTTGATTCTTAGTGTAATTTCTTATGCTATTGGGGTTCTGTTGAGGAAATCCTTGCCTATACCTACATTTTAATGTGTTTTTCTTTATCTTCCTTTAATTTCAGTGTTTTATACCTAAGTCTGTGATTTATTTTGTTTTGACACATTCATGGTAGGGGCCATAATTTGTACTGTATTTCCCCCAAAATAAGACCTAGCCAGAAAATAAACCCTAGTTTTTCAGGATATTCATAATATAAGCCTCACCCCCAAAATAAGCCCTAGGTAAGACCATCAGCCAGACAGGTGCATTTAATAGACCGACCTATTGGAACACACAGAGTACGTACTGAATTTTTAAAAAAGTAAATATAACCTCACTTGCCTTACAGGCAGAAGGTCCTGAGTTCAATCCCTGGTACCAAAAAAAAAAAAAAAAAATTATTGACATTAATGCTTGAATGATAACATGAATTAGAATTATTAGTAAATACTCAGGTACTTTTGGACAAGAGGTAAATGCCTATGTAAACAGATGAATTTGAGACTTACTGCTGAATGCCCAGTCAGAGTACAGACACAACATACAAATAATGCGCACAATTGATAATGAACGGACACAATTGTGTCTAATAGGAATCTTCACAAGTCAGTAGTCCTGTGTTACAGTGGACATAGTTAATGTGCTCGTGTGAAATAAAGAAACATTTTCTGAATTTTGGTGCCTGCAGTCTTTTGTTGCTTTTCTGTGGACCATCATTCTTAACTGTCATCATTTTTGTTGCATTCTTGTCTTGTAAGTCTTCAGTTAACACTTGGTTTAATGGAAACTTTGTGAAGCCCAGCTTGCAAGAGGTTGTGGCTTGGGTAAAGAATCCATGGAATATTATAACACTGTCTTGTAACTTGCACTGTTATTTGTAAAATGTCAGAAATCTAACTGTTGCTCCTAGTAAGGAAAACTTTCTTTGTCTTTTACATTTTTTCATTATCTTTGAAATTCTACAGTTTTACTGAACTGCACTTTAGCATGGATTTTCTTTCTTTTTTTTTTTTTTTCTTGGAATGTGTTGCCTTCCTGTTCTAAGGGTTTGACATCTTCCTCAATCACAAACATTCTCCATCTTTATTTCTTTTAATATCACCTTTGTCTCATTTTCATTTTTCTGCCAGCTGAAACTCCAGTAAAGCATCTGTATCCTGATCGCTGTATCTATCATGTCTCTCTCTCTTTTTTTTCAGTTCTTTTATTGGTACATTTTAGGTCTACAATTCGTTTACATTTATCATTGGGTGTTTGCACCTGTACATGATAGATCTTGGTGACTCATCCTGCACAAAGTTATAATATTGTCATTATCTTACACGGTGAAAGTTTAGCAGTTTCTTAATGTTTTATGTTAGGGGCCTGGCTGAATAAATTATGGTATATTCACTTGGTCTCTTTTTATGTGATCATCAAAAATAATGTGCATAAATGTTATTAACAACACTAGAAGATTCTTAGGATATAACTACACAAAAACGTCTAAACAGAAATTATGTAAGATTTTGATATCAAATTTCTACTTAAAAACAAATTCAAAAGAGACTAGATCTGAAGATTTAATTATGATGATTTTTCTTCTTTTGGAATGTCCCCTAGCTTTCAAATTGACTATAGTACACATGTGTTCCTTTTCTTCCTTTTTTGTGATGCTCAGTTAAGTTTTATTTACATAATTTTTTTCTTCAATGTAACTTGCAAATAAAATCATTTATATTTAAGATATATACCGTAATGTTTTGAGATACACATGCATTGTGAAATTATTCCTATAATAAAGCTAATTAACATATCCTTCAAAAAAGAAAAAAAAAAAAGAATCCATGAGATAAGATCACTCACAGCTGTATTGCCAGCGCACTGTGACCGGGCTACATGGACAGGAAATGCACAGTGAAGGAGAGCTCTGCTGCTAGACCTGAGAGATTGGGGTCAGTGGTTCCATAGGAAGTGGAGTTGGAAGAAATTCAGGCCGGAGTTCAGTTTGGAGGACTATGATGATGTTTTGGAAGAAGATAACATAACTGTATTTGAATAAATACAGCTTTCTGTACATGAATAATTGTAGATCGTTGTACATGAAAAAAATCTTTTGAAAATAAGCCTGTTGTGTCTCTTTCAGCAAAAATTAATGCAAGACTGGTCTTATTTTTAGGGAAATACACTATGTCTTATTGCCAGGCAGCTCTGATTTGAACGTGTTATGTTCCCACCAGCTTGAACCACCAAATTTTATTAATTTTATTAGTAAAAAGACTGATGAAAGTGATTAGATTCATTGGTATCACCAGTGGCAAACCTGATGGGACAGTCACGCATGTACCACCAGTATTTCAAGGTGATAACATGTTAATACAGCGTGAGAGGTACAGGTCGAGTTTGATTCTTCTGCACATGGATTTCTCAGTTTTTCCAGTGCCATTTGTTAAAGAGGCTGTCTTTTCTCCAGCATATGTTTTTAACTTGTTTGACAAAGATCAGATGGCTAAAAGTACATCGGCTTGTTCCTGTGTCTTCTGTGTCTTGGTCTACGTGTCTATTTTTGTGCCCATACCGTGCTGTTCTTGTTGCTATAGCTTCATAGTATAACTTAAAATCTGGAATTATAATGCCCTCCATCCACTTTGCTCCTTTTGGTCAGAATTACTTTAGCTATTCTGGGTCTTGTCTGGTTCCTATAAATCTTAGAATTGTTTTTTCCAGTTCTGTGTAGAATGTTGATATTTTAATAGGAATTTAATTTAGTTTAAACTAGTGGATTGCTTTGGGTAATCTGGCTGTTATAATAATGATAATTCCGCCTGTCTAGGAACGGGGGAATGTCTTTCCATTTTCTAATGTCCTCTTCAATCTCTTCCTCCAAAGAACTGTAAAGACATTAATTCAGTGTTTTCACATTTGTTGTTGGTAATAAATATGCTCTTTTAAGTTCTAAAATATGACTATTGTATGTTTAATTATTAACAGTTCGTTTTTGAGTTATATTGTTATTAGTGTCCTATAAAAATGACATCTTTCTTAAAGAATATTTGCATATACAGAAACGTTTTCGCTACTTCCCTGCATTGTCTTTCTATCCATAACCTCCCCTTCTCTTATGCAAGTACCATTTTTGACTTGTTTATGGTGTGGACAGGGAGGCAGCTCTCATGATAACGTGGTATCTTTTTTGGGGGTCCTGGGGATTGAACTCAGGACCTTGCGCTTGCAAGGCAGGCGCAGTGCCACTGAGCTACATCCCTGGCCCTGTTCGCCTTTTTTGTTACTGGATTACTTTCCCTTTCTTCTCTACCAAGGTAGTAATTATTTTTATATTCACTTTGTTTTCATTTATTATGATAGAATTAATTCTATTTGTTTCTCATTTTTCTTTTTTGGAGTTATGTCCAAGAAGAGAAATGGATGGAGAAGTTATCCATCATTTTAAATAAGGATATTCATCAGCCTTCAGATAATAGATTTTTTTAGCATCTTTCTGTGTAGCATTAGACAGAGTACTTCCAGATAGCGGACCTCAGCCATTGGACAAGAAATACACTGAAATATCTTTTTAACAGTATTTTGGGGAAACTAAAGAATACTCTTACTTTTCTTTTTAAAAAGACGCTTTTAATTTTAGAATAGTTTCACAGTTTCATGAAAGTGAAGACAGTGCAGAGAGATCTCATAAATTCAGTTTCTGTGACTGTTAGTACGTCACCGCGGTATTGTTGTACTAGCACACACTGTGAAGCGCAGTGGTAGTGGCCTCTCGGAGACGAGCGCCCAGACTGCAGCCCGAAACTTGCTTATGCACCTCACAGTGCCAGCACCGCAACTCAATCTGAGTACTGAGGTTTCAGTTTGGAAGAAGCAACTCACACATCACGATCTTGTGTCTTAAGAGCAAAACAACACATGCCATAGGTTTGCCACCACTGCTTTAAAGAAAGAATATAACTTTAGAGAAACCTGTGTACTGTTCAGTTAGCACATTTATTAAGCGTGCATGGGTGCCGAGCCTGGGATACGGACCTAGTTCTAGAGAAAAGGCAATCTGTGATCTCAAAGTGCTCACTCTAGGACAAAGGTGAATTGGTACAATGTGGCAAGTGCTAGATAAATACAAGCGTAGGCATTGTACGAGTGTGAAGTAAGGAAAATGGGAGAGATTCTAGGAAACCTGCTAGAGGAGATAATGTCTGTGCTAGAGATGAACTCGACAAAGGAAGAGACCTTTGTAAATATAGTATTCTGTTCCAGATTTACAGAGTAAATGTGTGGCCAAAGAAAATGAAGTGCAGAGCCTGCATAGTAAACTTACAGATGCCTTGGTATCCAAACAACAGTTGGAGCAAAGATTAATGCAGTTCATGGAATCAGAGCAAAAAAGGGTGAACAAGGAAGAGTCCCTACAAATGCAAGTTCAGGTATTTGTTTTTCCTTCTTTTAAAACAATAGAGAATCAGATATGTGTACCTAAAAGAGAGAGCAGAACATACCTTACCCTAATTCTGAAGCTTTAGTGAATAATTACAACTTAATCTTTGACCACATCATAGTATGTTGTGTTTGAAGATCTGCTTAGCCACAGTCATAGGCTCCTTGTAGTTTTGAAACAGTAAAACATTTCCTTAATTTCTACCGTATAAAGTAAAATAGAATAGAATGCTAATCATTATTTCAAATAATGCCTTTTGGAATCTAAGAATACCTTTTTAAAGATAAACAGAACCTGTGAGTCATGATACCATATATGTTGCTACATTTCTTCATAGCACAGTTTTTTTCCCTCTTTGTGTTTTCCTTCTGAAAGGATGTTTTGGAGCAGAATGAGGCCCTGAAAGCACAAATTCAACAGTTTCATTCCCAGATAGCTGCCCAGGTAATAGTGCTTTCTTCCTGCTTGTCATTATTAATAGCTTGCGAGCCATTTAGACAGTCATCTGAGTGCCTGTTGTGCTAAGCACTGGGCTGGTAGTTGGGAGACTTGTTAGTGAATTAACAAGTGATGATCCCGAGTGCTGAACACTGATGAATATATGTGAAAGGAGAGAGTTAGAAAACTCTTATCAGGAAAATAACGCCCCCAGTCCTGTCACAGAATGGGAGAAAGTAACCAAACAGTATCTATGATAGTGGTTTATATATTTACACACTACTGGGTAATCATGGAAAACCTCATCTATCCACAGGTAATAGGATTATGTTAACCATAGCTCTCAGAATATATTCACAAAAGAATCAGTTTAAAATTTATACTTCAATATAGTTAGTGGTAAGTGTTTGAAAGTTTTTTAAATGATGTTGTAAGATCTCTTATTTTTGGCAATGTTGTTTTGTCATAAGTAGGCCTTAAAATATAAACGATATAACATTAAGAAAAAAGTGAAAATTTCCTATACATTTCCATAATGTATATACCATAAATTTCAATTTCAACTCAACTTTAAAGTTTAAACTTGTATATGTTGCCGAGGGTATAGCTCAGTGGTTCTGGTGCCTGGCTCACAAGAGCAAGGTCCCTAGTTCAATCCCCGGTATCAAAAAAAATAGAGATATTAAAAATTCTAAATGTTGCTTTTAGCAAAAAGTATTAACTTAGAAGTCTGACTTCTCTGTGTAAAAGATTATTTTAACATGAAAAATTTGTTTTTAGGCTTCAACAAGTTTAAATTCCCAAAGCATGTAAACATATTTTTTTCTAATTGCGTTTTTATAGAAACTATAGTCTACAATTAATTAATGAAGAATTATTTAACATAAGGAAGGGGGCTGTAGTGTATGTGTCTGCAAATTATCACCTCAGATTGGATTGAGATCTTTAGTTATCAGCTGAGAGGTAGCTCTAGAAAGTTTATTAGAATGCTGTGAATACTTTAAAAAAAAATAAAGATGACCATGACTATTACCAGATTACCTAAATTAATCTTGAAGTGGATCACATTGAAAAGTTGCTGCTAGGTAAGAGAAGTACAGCCACGAAGCCTGGCCATTGTGACTATTGCCTCCTATTTGTTCCTCGTCAGTTATGTAGTTTTCAGGCCTGTCATGTCTTATGATACATGATCAGACATGATTTCAAAATGATAGCTACTCTGTATTGAACACTTATCATGGGTTAAAAACTATATACATTAATTTCTTTTAGTTTTTAAAGCTCTTGTGATGATTATTGTATGGCTTTTAAGCTTTCTCTTAAATGCTTTCATGTTGATGATGTTTTTCTTTCTTAGACCTCCGCTTCAGTTCTAGCAGAAGAATTACATAAAGTGTAAGCCTGCCTTTCCGAACTTCTCGCAGTTGTGTAGTCACCACTAACTGATACTTCTTAGACACCTGTAAAGGATTAATTTTATACTCTGAGCTTCTTGGAAAATACTCCAAACTACATTTTGAGCAACTTTTACTCTTTTACTTCGTCTTGTGTGTTGGGTCCCTAAACATTACATTTTCTGTTTTTATGTCCTCATCATAAAATGAGTGGGTTAAGCTTTTCACTTAGGGTATTGGCAGTTATGTAGAAAAAGTAATTACATTTTGAGAGTATTGGAAGCAAATTAATTTTTCTGTCTAATGTCTGGTTGTAGCTACTCTGTATCTAGGTATGTGGTAATATACTCAACATTCTGTGTTTTGTTTTGCATGATTTTACATAAATGTGGGTTGCTTGAGTTCAGAAGACCTGCAACACTGGCAGACTTGTGAACTTTAACAGATTAACTTGAGTGTGAGTTTTAACATTAGGGATATTGTATGTTAAGGAATTACAGTAATTGTAAGACAGTTACTAGTAAACTGAAAAGAGACTGTAGAAAAGGAAGGTATGATTATGTGAGAAACTACTTAAAGATGACCCTGTTTAAGATCTTTAACCCTTTGACTTGTGATATAAATTATAAATTTTGATTGAATATACAAATTTATTTCCTTTTAAAGGATTGCAGAAAAGGATAAGCAGATAAAACAAACTGAAGATTCCCTAGCAAGTGAACATGATCATTTAACTAGTAAAGAGGAGGAACTTAAGGTCAGTAATTCTTACAAAAGACTGCAGTATTTTGTAGGGCTCCATATTGTATTATGATCCCTGCAATCAGTCAGAGTTCATATGAAGAATGGAAAATACTCTAGAACTCATTTAAAAAGTGCTTTTCTCTTGTCTACACTATCAAATGCTCTTTAGCTCTCAAAGAGGAAAAAGTCAAAGGGCTTTTCTCACATGCTATTATTCAGAACAATTTGAGAAATATGCTAAATATTAGGAATTGACAGTTCCTCTTGCTGATTAAAGGAATTTGTAATTTAAGACCTTTATTGAACTTTTAAGGTCAATTGTATTAAATATTCTAATGTAGAACTCTGTTTCATTGGTCTAGGATATACAGAATATGAATTTCTTATTAAAAGCTGAAGTGCAAAAATTACAGGCTCTGGCAAATGAGAAGGTAGATCTTTATTGCTTTTTTTTGTATTTACTTAAGAATTTTCCTTTGTATATTCTCATTTTTATTGATATTGTGAACTCCAGTTTTATTCATGTAAATAATAAATATAATTGTGTTTGGCTGTTTGATACGTGAAAAACCTCTTACAGCCTACCTAGATTATTACTATTTCATGCTGAAATTATGTTTGATCTGATGAATTGATTAAGAGGAGTCAGTTAAAACAACCTTAATGTGCTTAATCTTTTGTCATTTAATCTAAAAAGGACAGACGTTTTATTAGGATAAAAGTTGATCTGTGAGAAGTAAAACATATTGGAGAGCAAAACATTACACACATAAATGATACTGCTATAACCTTACTCCAAGTCTATGGAAGTATAAAAGTAAGTGAAAGATTAGTTTGAAGTGCTTCCTGAGAAATGATAGATTTTCATTTTATTCCAACACAGGCTGCTGCAGCACATGAATTGGAGAAGATACAAAAAAGGTGATTGAAATATTGTTGTAAATAGAGGCATTTGTAAATTATGTTCAAGTATAATTGCTGTAGAAAATATTGCTGAAGTTGATGGTCGTACACATGACTTAAACTATCCAAATATAGGAAGTGTTTTTAATTGATGCTTTTTTCTCATAGTATTCATGTTAAGGATGATAAAATAAGATTGCTCGAAGATAAGTTACAATGTGAAATTTCAAACAAAATGGAGGAATTTAAGGTATGTGATTACGTTTGTACATTCAGCTTTCTTAGAATTAGCTTGTATGATTTTCAGTGGTAGTGAATGTGGAAATACTATTTTGTGTATGCAGTCACCTTGAAGCAGTGTTTCTATAGTTTATTTGGGCGCTTATGGAAATAGTGAATTTTGTTGTAGACTTTTAGTCTGGATTCTGACTTATCTGGATCTTCTAAGAAACTTTTGACATTTATTTTGCCCCTATTTTCATTGGCAGTTTTCAGCTGGTATTTATGTTTGTGACTGTTATCTATCTGTACTATTGCCATAGTGTTAGTCTGTGGTCATGGCCAACCCAGTTTGACTATCTGATTGCCAGAGTTACATCTGTATCTAAAGAAATGTGAATTCTTGGGCAGGGAATTTAACTCAGTAGCACCACACCTGCCTCACAAGAGCAAGGTCCAGAGTCTGATCCCTGGCACCAAAAAAATAAAAGAAATGTTAATTCTTAGGTCAGTATGTAATTCACCTGTTAGTCTGTGAGTAATTAAAATAATATGAGTTCGATTAAAAAAATTCAGATGATTGTTTAATTACCATTTTTCTTTAAAAAATATAATAAATTGAAACTGTTTTCTTCCAGATTCTACATGACCAAAACAAAGCATTAAAATTAGAAGTTCAAAGACTGCAGACTTTTATATCTGAACAGGTAAGACTTTTTACGAACCATAAGGTAGAAATAGCCAATATACAATAAGATCTGGGTCTTAATTTTAACCAGTTTATTAATTGAGAAGTTTTGCTTAAGCATAGCTATGTCTTTTCATTGGATTTCTCTTTACCTTATACTTATCAAGTTTCTAAATAAAAACTTCCTTGAGATGAAGTGAATGCTAATCTGCTTATAAGGACTTTGCAAAAAAAAATAAGTAAGTAAGTAAATAAATAATAGGGCTGACAGTCCTGCCTCACACTTTTGGAGCCTCAGCTGTTTCTTCTAGGCATTATGACTTCTTAAAAACAGAATGGGTTTGAAATATATTACCAGTAGTTAGAAGCAAAGTGATATTGATTAAATTGCTTAATATTTCTAAGAACTTTCATTCTAAGTTTTTTACACCAAGATTATACTTTCATAGTCATACCACTACTACTTTAAAACTCATCACATTTGCTGCATGATGCATTTTTACTGAAAAATTTTGTCCCAGTTCTTGTTTGTTTGATATTCCATGTGCAATCTAGAACTTGTTGGTGCTGATCGCCTCTTAACTTGCTACACTTTCCAGCCAAAACTGTTTGGTACTTGGTTTTGGTACTCATTCCACCTCTCTTAACCAATCAACAACAAGTGCCAAGTTACCACTGTATTGTAAGTTCATTAGATTTAAATGGGAAGCGTAGTGCTTTGCATAGAGTGGACATCCAAGTCTTCATTCCTTTCTCTTAGAATATTTTTTTTTCATCTCATCACAGTTCCCTAACACCATCACTCTTCTTTCTGTATTTGTAGCAAGCCATTAAACTAGAGCAACTTTGAATAAGCAATGCTCCTTGAACTTGTGCCTAGCAGTGTCTGTTAATATGGCTTTTCCTGAGAATTGTCTTCATACTTTCCTCTTTCACAACTCTTCAAATTACGGTATTAAAAGCTACTCTAGAAACTCTTGATCCTAGCATAGAAGCTTTGCATGTTCTCCTAATAGTAAGGTTTTGGAATATAGTTTTATTAAAACCTAAAACATAGGCTATTGCAAATGATACCACTTCTTTAGCAGATGTGGGCACTTCTTTTAAAATTCACATTTATGGAAGTATTGAATTGATTGAAGTAGCTGTGTTGCTGGAAATATTTTGTTAACATCTATTTATTTGTCAAGAAATATCATGACCTTGTTTTGTGTAATTCTTAATGCTTTATGCTGTACCCTTAAAAACTAAAGATAATGGATAAAAATATTAAAAGGCATGTAGTTTGAATGGTATTTAAGTTTTATTCTTAAGTATTATTCTTGGGCCAGGGATATAGCTCAGTGTGGTGCCACACCTGTGTCACAAGCGAAAGGTCCTGAGTTTGATCCCCATTACGCTCCCCTGCCCCCAGTATTATTCTCATTTCCCTTTGTTGTGGTATAACTTCTGAAAGATAATGACATTCCTTCAGTTAAAAGACCCCTTTCCCCCATTTACCATTTCTGAAATCTGGATATATCTTGTATCTGGTTATAATTAATTTGGCACTAATTTAAATTTTTAGTATTGATGTATCAGTAGGAAAATGCAACATTAGAGACTTGGGTTAGATAGCTCAGCTAATTTTTTCTTCTTACCCAGAAAAACAAATGTACTTTCTGGTCATAGTTACTAGGGATTTTGAAGTATTTGTTTCAATATAAGTTGGTTTTTTTTCAATATGAGTTTTAAACTTTCTAAAATTAACTTCAGTAAAATGCTTGCCTAAAAATTTCTGAATCTGTCTTAGAATTCTAGTATTCTGGTATGGCGGCTTTTACCTTCATTTAAGCAGAAAACTTAAAGTTTTAAAAATCTTTTAACCTCTGTTCTTTGCCGAAACCAGTGTTCTCCATTGTTACATGAGTGAAACCATTATACCTACATTTTCCTTTTTCTTTAAAATTGTGTGGTAGTTGAAGAAATTAACATTCTCATGTCTTATATAAAATTCCTTATATCTGTGGAAATTAATTTCTTAAAGTTCTCTTATTTTGATCTTACTGAGTCAGTCTTTTATTTACTCATGTTTCTGTACACAAATTTCTGTCAAAGAGATAACTTTTAGTATGAAATGGAAGTTTTTTTAATATTCTTAGAATAAAATATCATGACCCCAGTTTTTGATTTATTTATAAAAGGGGAAACTTACTCTGTGAGTTTAATTCTTAGCATTATTCTTCTTGTTCTGAAGATTTACTTTTATTTTTTATTTTATTTTATTTATTTATTTTTGGTACCAGGGATGGAACTTGGGTCCTTGTGCTTGCAAGGCAGGCGGCGGAACCACTGAGCTAAATCCTGGCCCCTGTTCTGAAGATTTAAAAAAAAAAAAATCCAGATACCATATGACCCTAATATTATGGTTTTCATTATAGTCCAGACTTTTTTCGTCTTGGCAGACCAAAAAAATTATTTTTGCCTTTTCTCATTTTTTAAAAATTGCTATTGCTAGTGAAAGAAGACATAAAGATTAGTATAATTTTAGTTTCTTTCATTTCCAGTTTTTTAATCCTTTCCTATGGTAACAATCAGGATTCTAAATGACAGTTGAGTTATGTAAAAATGTCAGTCTTTTTACTACATGGATTTTTGTCCGGAAGAAGGCATTGAAGTTATTGAAGTAGAAACTAATAATGGTGTCAAGTTGTGGTTTCTTCGGGTGTAGGAAGCAGAAAGGCAGTGAGAACCAGGTAAAGTAGCCTGTTTACACACTAAAGGGAAAGCTCCATTTTAGGGTAGGCTTGCAGATCGTCAGATAATGCAGATAATCAGCTACTAAGGTCTCATATACTCAAAGTAAAGTAAAACTTTTTCGGGGGTGCATCCTTTTTAGTGGAGGAGAATGACTTTTTATAATTTCAGTAGATTTTTAAGATTCAGTGGCCAAGTTTATAAAGTACAGACTGTGAGTGTCTTCTCTTTGCCCTTCTCCCTGTATTTAATTGCAGGAAAATTCCTTATTCCATAAGGTACACATTTGAAAGCCACTAGGGAGGAAATAAAAGAGTTGGATTAGACCAGTAAACTATAAGGAAAAGTAAAAATGTTGGATAGATGCTACACTGTATCAGTTTATGCAGTTGAATATTTGATGAACTAAAGACCAAGAGGACTTATTAGACTATATATTCACTAGAGGAAATTGAGTTCATCAAATATTTACTGGTTGAATATATGCTAGGTACTTATCTACATGCTGAGGCTGTGGCGCTAAATGAAACTGGATTCCTGCCCTCAGAATGTGGCTTAATGTGGAGAGAGATACATAACATAAAAAGGTGTGGGGAATAAGATCCTTGAACTAACTTTCTAGGGTTAGGGGAAGAGATAATGCATTCTACCTGCAGGAGAGGTAGAGAGAAGGTTTACAGCGGCAGCTGAACCTGATTTTGAAAAATGGCCACAAATGGACCAGACAGCTAAGGGACAGTGCAGGCTGAGACACACGTCGTTCAAAATTATGGCCGTCGGTGTAATCATAAAGGACTTTGTTTGCTTTGTTTACATCATGAACCTGATGTAACACCGAAGGGCTTTGCAAGGATGGATTTTGTCTGATATTTTAAATCACCTCACTAACAATGAAGTAACTGAATTTATGAGGAGGAGAAGCAGGTAGGGCTAACATATAATATAACTAAATAATTAACGTGTGGATAAGTTGAACTTAATGATGTTGAGTCTTTCTGTGAAATTGGACTCTTCAAAAATAAAAATTTGGGCAAATACCATCTTCATGTAAGATTTGTAAACTTACAACATGATTTGTTTTTAGAGTATACATGTGTTAGTGGACTTGTGGCCTCTCCTTTCTCCTTTCTGATGGTGGAACAGTTTTTACCTGTTGGAGTGTTCTTCCTGTGTCCCTTAGAAAGCAACCCATAAGACCTAGAGGTGGGAAAAACAGGGCATATTTGAGAGAAGTAAAGCTGAGGACCTAAATTTAGGCATTGAAGGGTTAATTTCCGAATTATGGAAGAAGTGAAATCTTAGGATTTGGATTTGGCAGTCGGAAAACTAATTTTATTTGTGTGAAAAGATTGGGTTAGGGGACTGGGCAGAAGAGAATATTCAAAAAAGAAAGACCCGAAACTTACTTTGTCAGGCCACTGAGCTGAGGAGAAAGCCCTGTTTCCAGATACAGCAATACATGAGGAGAGCGGGTACCGTGCACGTGTTTGGTATGCTGGGAGAAGGGTGGAAGGGGGCTCAGTTTATAGGTCAGGTTTTCTTGTTTTGTAAAGAGAAATGCGTTTGTGTTGGTTCTGCAGTTCACAAGCACTTTTTAAACATGCTATTGAAAGTGAAGAAGTGTGTAAAGACGAGTACAATTCTAGTGAATCAGACTCTCTTATGCTTAAATTTAAGAATAGTAAGGACTGTCACCCCCCCCCCCATACTTCTTTTCCTGTGTCTTTTGTGTAGATTCCTTTCTTCTGTTGGCTAGTGTCTGTTTAATTATACAGTAGCAGTCATTTTTTAAATAAGGATTATTTTCCTAAATTTCAGATGTATTTAGAACTCTATAAACAGTTCATTGTAGTTTTTAAAAAAACTAGTTTTACCACATGTAAACTTGATAGAATTAAACTGTTTTGGTGCTTTTTATTTTGTTTTTTTTGCTTTTTAGCCCAGTAAAGATACTGTGGAACAAATGGAAAAATGGTAAGAGCTTAAAGTGTTTTTTTTTTGTTTGTTTTTTTTTACTTTGATGGCTCATTTCTACCAAATTTGAGATAACAGAATTATTCAACTACATTAGTCTAGATTCTTAAAATTCTTAATTCTTGTTTTCCTTTGTAGAAAAAGAGAATGTTGGTGTGCTTTTAGCTGGGTTACATTATAGTTTGTAGGTGGCATGTGTGGCAGTGATTTGCTTGTTTAGGATAGCATGTAAGCATGCATTGCTTGAGCACATTTTAATTATTGATGAGGAAATATTACTAGAACATGATCAAAGATCCTTTCTAGAATTGAAAGTTTACAGGAATATTGGACAGAGGGATTAATTCATGTGTTTAGGAATAACATTACTTACCTTGAAAAACAGTTCATGCATATGCTTTAAATGTATAATTTCAGCATTCAAGAAAAAGAGGAGAAGTTAAAGACTGTCGAAGAATTACTTGAAACTGGACTTATTCAGGTGGCCAACAGAGAGGAGGAACTGAATGTAAAGAATTTTGTAGATTTGTTTTTCTTGACCTTATACTGCGAACATGAAGGGATTTCATGATAATTGTATGAGGTTTTCTAATAGCATATAAATCTATTAATTACATTTTATAAATATGTTATAAAAATTGAGTTTAAGTTTTTTTCAGAAATAAAAAAATACATAATTGATTATCGCATTCACTGCCTTAATGAGGTATATTGCAGTTTGTAATATATGCTAACCCACTTACACTCATGTTGAGATTATAACCAGATGATTACTAGCAAACATCCTAAGTCCTTATTGGGAGTCAGAGATAGAAGAGTGCAGTTCTGTTTTATGGTTATCACTAGCCTTAACTAACTTGATTAGAATAGAGTTGCTGGGAAGAATAATTTAAAGATATATTTGAATTTAGAGAGGGTCATTGGTTAGTTGACAGGTGATATACTACGTATTTTTGAGGTTGTGGAGATACAAGTAGAAATAATTTGTGGACATAATTGAATTACAACCATCTGGCCAGCTGTAGAATTGGCTAGCTCTACGACATTGAACAAGTGAGATTGTGGGCCTTCCAGAGATGAAAAAGAAGAAACTAAAGAAAAATGAAGAACTATCATAGTTTGAAGCTAGCTAGTTTTTCAGAAGATAAAAATACGTTGTTCTTTATGTTTTTGAAAAAGGCCATAAGAACAGAAAATTCGTCTCTGACAAAAGAAGTTCAAGACTTAAAGGCTAAGCAAAATGATCAAGTATGTATATATTCCACAGGTCTTTTCTTTTAAACAATGGACAGAGATGGTACATGAAAATATACCAAGTCTTTTGTTTGTCTGTTTCTCTTCCAAGGTAGACAGTTTTAATCTGTGAATGATTAGTTACTTAATTATCGGTAATAGAGACTACAATTTATTGAAAGCTGGCTGCACGCCAGGCACTGTGTAGAGTAGTCTAGGATGTCATTGCTTGTTTACTACAGTAATAAAAAGGTAAGAAGACTAAATAGTAATGTGCTGTCTGAAATGAGCCAGTTTCCTAGTTGTATTTTGTCTTTATCTGGCTAGAATTCGTAAGTAATTCAATTATTTATCTAATTGCTTTTCTTTTGTCCTTTAAATAGGCTTAAAACTATTTACTTTTTAAATGCTATTGATTTTTATCATTACAACATTTCAAACATCTAGAAAGAATTCTGGGCTTATGTTTTCCCATTTCGATTTTGTTAGAATGGTAATTGTACTTTTCTACTTCTGACTCATTTATAGTTGGAACATATTATTAAGATGCTTTTGTATTTCCAGGTTTCTTTTGCTTCTCTAGTTGAAGAACTGAAGAAAGTGTAAGTGATAATATTATTATAAACTGATCTTTTTCTTTTAACTTATTTTCTTAGCACTAATAAATTAGTTTCATTGCTTAGTTGGGACAGCTGGTATACATTGACTTTAGAATTTTTCATTAATGGACCAAGGGACGTTAGCTGTCTTTCCCAAATTTACTTTGATTTGTTTTTAATTTCCAAAATTGATTCCATTTATTTTTGTATGACATGAAATTGTTAATCTTCTCTCTTGTAGCAAGAACTATTAAAGAACGCGTTATCCTGTATAGAGAGATCAATTCCTTGCATTCTTTAGATGTGAAGTTTGATGCCATAATTGTATGTGTTCTGCCACATCTTTCAAAGTCTTGGAAAATAGTACTATTTAGTGGCATTTGATTCTCCCAATTGTCTTCATAGTATAAATCTTACATTCCCCATATACTTTTTTTTTTTTTGGATGGTACTGGGGATTGAACCCAGCTATATCCCAACCCCTTTTTTCTTTTTGGGACAGAGTCTCGCTGAGGACTGAGGGCAGAGTTTCAGGCAGGACTTGAACTTGCAGTTTTCCTGCTTCAGCATCCAAAAATGCTGGGATTACAGGCCTGAGCCACCACACCTGGCTGTCCATGTACTTTTGAAGGTTATCACCAACTTCTTGTGTATAGGCGCCAACCATCTGGTAGTTGCTGGTTAAGTTTCATTTAGGAAGAGCTTTACTCTTTTTGTTTTCCCTCTTCTTTGCAAAGATAGATTGCTGTTTCACTTAAAGTAGGAAAGCATTGATTGGAGAACCATTTTATGATTTGGTGCTCTTTTTGTATCTTGGTGGATTTTGGTGATTTCTTTTGAAGTTAATGATGCATTTATTTATTTAAGGATCCATGAGAAAGATGGAAAGATCAAATCTATAGAAGAACTTTTGGAAGTTGAACTTCTCAAAGTTGCTAATAAGGAGAAAACTGTTCAGGTATTGGGAGACAGTAGTATGTTTGGCTTTCTGTTTATCAGCTTTAGTTAATATCATTTAATTTCATCTGTTTGTCTGTGAATTACATTTTATGTCAATTTCTGTGTTTCCATTGTCCAATCTTGTCTGTTTTGTCATTGTCAAGGATTTGAAACAGGAAATAGAGGCTCTAAAAGAAGAACTAGGAAATGTCCAGCTTGAAAAGGCTCAACAGGTAAAAATCCCAGAGCCATAGCATGACAGATTTATTAGTCTGTATATTATTTATGAGTTACTTAGTTTTTTTTCTTTGTTACTCAGAAATAATCTTTTAGTGGTGTGCTCTAGGTAATATTAGATTATATGCTTTTATTTTCTTGGCTAATTTGAGAAAATGCCCTTAATATCTTGACATTTGATTTCAGGTGTCCTTGCTATTATGTATCTTTTCAAAGTTAATTGTCAGTTTCTTTTCTAGAATGTTTTTTGTATGAATATTTTATTTTAGTTTGCTAATTTAAAACAGAATACCAAACATTTGATAAATCTTTTTTTTTTTTTTGCTACTGGGGATCGAACTCAGGATTTGCACTTGCGAGGCAGGTGCGGTGCCACTGAGACAAATCCCTGGCCCTTGATAAATCTTTTTTCAAGACCGCTCATAAAAACAGACTGCATGGAACACAGTGATGTGTTTCAGAATATGTACTGCTCAGCCTCTGCCTGTAGAACAAAATACAAGTTCTAGTTCCAGAGGTAGATGTGATTACTGGAATTATGTGAGTTTTATGGTTTTTAACCTGATGAGGCTTCATTGAAAAAAATGGGAACATAGTGTGGAAGAAAGGATTCTTTCACCTAACAGATTTCATTCACTCAACAGTGTTTATTGAGTTATTCCTTCCCGTCAAAACCCTGTACTAGTTGTTAGAGATAATATGTTGAACAAAACAAGGTATAGTGAAAAAGATCATCCTTCTGTAATAGAGATTGGGGGGTTAGGAGAGACACTTCCTGAGGAACTAACACCTAAGCCAAAACTGAAGAGGATGTGAGAATAGAATGGGGAATGAAAGGCACTAATAGACCAATAGACAGTATGATGTGTTTAAAAAGGAGATTAAAGAAGGGCAGTAATAGGACACTGTTGAGTAATTGTTCTTGACAACTGAGCTGGAGGGAGGTGTGTAGAGAATTAATACTCTAATTTTCACAGCAGTATCAAAATTATTTATAACCATCTTCCTTGTCTTTACTTCTCCCTGTTACGTTTTTGTTACTTTTACTGTCATTGGAGTCAAGCGAAGATGAAATAAAAACATCTCATTTTGGCATAAAAAGTTGATCCTAGGGTCTTTGTAATTCAAAGTGTTATAAGATTTACTGAGATAAATTAAAAGGATTCTGAATTACCTTTTATGTCCTTTGTATTTTAGTTATCGATCACTTCTCAAGTTCAGGAGCTTCAGAACTTGTAAGTACTATTTTTCTCATTTTCCTATAAATATCTCTCTTCTGGAGGTTAAATATAACGATAATCATTACATGTTTTATTTCAAATAATATTTTAGAAAATATCAAATTATTCAAAAAGCCTTACAGTATTACATTTTTTCATTATCCTTTAACCTGTAGGATTTTGTTTTTAGTTTTGTTTTTTGGTGGGAAGGAGGTAAGATGGGAATTCTTACTTTGTGATTTATAATCTGAATATGCCTTTAAGTGAATGTTGCTCTTTGCTTATATTAATAATCCTGTGAAACTAGGTATATGTTTTATACCTCTACTTGTAATAAGCTGTCTAAATTTGCTGATAATACTTAAACAGTGTGATGTATTGTAGAGCTATCGTAATATATTTAATGTCTGGATAGTTTGTTTAATCATTCTATAGTTCCTAATTTGATAGTCTTCAAAATCTTGTATCCCTTTTTACTTTAAATAATTTTAAATTTATTTTAATCTGTTTGGGCTGTGAATACACTTTTCCAGCCTCCATTGTTTATGCTCATGTAACATTTTTATTTATATTTCTTATTAATTTATTTTCAGAGTAAAAGGAAAGGAGGAACAGATGAATACCATGAAGGCTGTTTTAGAAGAGAAGGAGAAAGACCTAGCCAATAGAGAGAAATGGTTACAGGTGAGACTTTAAAAACAAAAGTTAAAGAATACCTTTTTAATATTTGAATATCAGTTCACATCTATTGTTTTTAAGGATCTCCAAGAAGAAAATGAATTTTTAAAGGCTCACGTTCAAGAAGCACGACATGACTTACAAGAGGTACCGTATAAGCAGATTACCAGCATCCTACATAAGGAATGAGGAGTCTTTATCTAACGTTGTGGAAAGCAAAGAATTTAATCAAGTCCCAGTTTCTTTGCCCAGAGAATTCTTATTGTACTATAGTTTTGTTATTGTTAAAATAAGTTAGCTTTATTCCTATTAAGTCATGCTTAGCACCCCGTTTTATCACCCTAACCCTATATAAATTCCCCTTTTTAGTTTTTGAATGATCTCTCTTTCAAAAACTTAAATTTGATAAAACTCATTCTGTCTTTGTTTTACAAGTGGTTTAAGCACAAATCTGCCACATAATTATATTTTTGTGTTATTGATGGTTGATTCTGTGTTTGTTTTGTGGAACTTGGTTTATTTTGCTGCTAGCATTAAAAATGTGAATCTGTTTCTTAGGCACATTCTGCATCACAATTTGAAGAACTTGAAATTGTGTAAGTATACTTTTAGCCAGTGTTGTCAGTAGAAACTTACTGTTTTCCAGAATGTGCTTAACCCTTCAATGCCTAGTGTTCCATTTTTGGAATGCTCGTAACAGTGGAACATAATAAATATTTTTCTCTTCAAATTCTTATTCCTTGAATTTTTCTAGGTCATTTCGTTGAGAAGTTCAAAAAAATTGCAGTCTTCAGCATAAATGGGTTAAAAGTCATTATAATAGGTTTCTCCTAAGTCATCAACTTTATTATTATCTATTATAGATCAGATGGAAATAAACTGTCTAGTTTTGGTAGAACAAAGCAAAGGCCCTTTAAATACTTTGAAAAACCTGTCAACTGTATCCTTCCCCAGTCCATCAGACTCATTTTCTCAAATATTCATTCCACAAATATGCACTGGTTTTAAATTTTTTTTTTTCAAAGAAGCATGCAGTTACTGTAAAGACAAAATGTATTTCAAAGTAAAATCAGTTTAATATTTGATAGACTAGAAATCAGAAGATGATCTTAGCTATAGTATTGATAATGAGTACTGAATCTTTCTAAATTATAACTTGCTCATAAGGAAAGTAGAACTTGTCATGTCTATTCTGTGCTGAATAGTAAAACTATTAATTCTAATCAGGATAGGAGGCGTTGCTCTTTTAAATGTTCATCCCAGAATACTTTTTTTTATCCCCTAAAGGCTGTTTTCTTAAGCCTAATTAGTTTACACTAGTGAGGAAGGGTATCTGAATCTCAACTTCTGTTTCCCTGTAGGATTAGTTTTAAGGGCTCTTTCTTTGATTTAATGCCCATCAGTCTTTATTGATGTCTGTTTTAAGAAGTACCCCTTTAAACTGTGTCTTTAGAACTAGGGTATTCAGGGTATTTATTAGGTCATTTGTGTTTTATGAAAGCAAGGGGATGACTTCTTGGCACCCAGACTGCTCAGTTGTACAATTGATTGTTTATCTCTCGGGCATCATGTACCTGTCAAAGCGATATCTGGATGTTCTGGATCACACCTGTAATCCTAGCACTCTGGGAGGCTGAGGCAGGAGGAACCCAAGCTTGAGCCAAGCCTGGGCAACTTAGCGATTTAGTGAGACCCTGTCTTAAATAGGCTGGGGATGTAGCTTACCGTGAAGATCTTGGGTTCAATCCCCAATACCATCCCACACCCAAAAGAGTTCTTTCATCTTCTAGTAGAGACACTTTTGTGGCCTTTTTGTTGTAATGTATGTAAGTTATAAAGTCTAGAATTTTAGGTTTATTTCTGTTTTAAATTTCATTGTCCTTTCTGTTTTAAATTAATAGACTTTATTTGGGGGAAGCATTTTTAGGGTTATAAAAAAAAAATTGTGCGGAAAGTACACAGAGTACCCATATCACTTTTGGCCTCCATTTCCTCCGTTAACATCTTGCATTAGGGTGGTACAGTTATACTGGTTTTTTACTGGTTTTTGTTTTTTTTGGTACCAGGGATCAAACTCAGGACCTTGCTCTTGCAAGGCAGGTGCAGTGCCTTGCAGGTGCAGCTAAATCCCCAGCCCTACGGTTATTATGCTTGATGAACCAATACATTGTTATTGACTAAAGGTCATAGTTTCCTTTAGGGTTCAGTCTTTATAGGTTTTAACAAATGTATAATGATAATATATCCATCATTATGGTATCAAACAGCAATTTTACTATCCTGAAACTCTCCTGTGCTCCCCGTTTATCCCACTCCCCTTTTACTCCTCCACCCCCTTGAACTCCTGGCAACCACTAATAATTTTTTTTTGGTACCAGGGATTAAACTCAGGACCTTGCACTTGCAAAGCAGGCACAGTGCTGCTGAGCTAAATCCTTGGCCCAGTAATTTTACTGCCTTTATAGTTTTGCTTTTTCCGAAATGTCACAGTTGGGCCCATATAATATGTAGCCTCAGGTTGTCATTTTGCACTTAGCGGTATGCATTTAAGATTTGCCCTTTGTTTTCATTCTTTAATCTCTTCATTTATGCTGTCTTGTTATTTTTCATATAGACCTGTCAGCATCTTGACAGTTTTTTCTAGATTAAGATGGGATACACATAGTGTTCCACTTAGCAAATACAGGAGAATCTATCATGTGCCTTCAGAACACTAGGGATATTGAAATGGATAAGATTTTCTCTGAAGAAATAGTTGAACAGATCATTTGATAGTGTTAAGTGTTGTGTTAGAGGTCTGTTGCTTAGAGTGACAAGGACTAGTGGGATTCACTTGGACCAGATTGATTTACATCAAGACTGGATAAGGGATTAGCAGGTTAAATTGTGTAACACCTCTTTGACAGAAGCATTGGGCATATTGTAATTTCCAGAGTCAACTTATGGCTGAGATTCTTGGGAGTAAAACTTGCATCTTTTTAATGGGCAATTTTTATTATAAGTTGATGAAATACAGTTTTGTTTTTAGCCTTTCTTTTAGAGTTTCCTCTTAGATAAACCCATGTTTTCTTCAGAAATATTAAATATAAATTAAGCTGTGGTGGTTTTAGGATAGTCTTCATTTTTAGTACAGTCACCCTGGAAATAATCTTTTTTCCTTTGTTTGTTTGTTTGTTTGATTTTTGGTACCGGGGATCAAACTTGGGACCTTGCACTTGTGAGGAAGGCGCTAGAACTACACTGAGCTAAATCCCCATCCCTGGAAATAATCTTTTAAAACAAACTTATAAGTTAGTATAATATGAAGAGAAATAGCTGGTAGACATTGTTTCTGTTATTTTCTTAGAGGTGATACTGGAACTGCCTTTCCTTTTTTATGTGTATTAGTAAAATAAGGTCTTTGTAAAAATTCTAGGATGAAAGAAAAGGAAAATGAAATGAAGATAGTAGAAGCTATGCTAAAAGAGAGGGAGAGTGATCTTTCTAGCAAAACAAAGCTGTTACAGGTGAATATGATTATTTGAAATTAGTTATTGGGTGAGTTATCATCTTTGCATGTTTTTTAAAAAAGTTTTAACTGCTATAAAATAAAGTACTGAGTGAGCTGTCTACCCTGATACAGATCTCATTCCTCAGAGATAACTACTTTCAATGTTGGCTATATCTTTTGAAAAAATACCCAGGCATAAATACACAAATACACTATATTTAAAATATACTATATTTAAAATATACTATATTTAAAATATACTATATTTAAAATATACTATATTTAAAATATACTATACATAATTACACAGACTTTTCTTTTTTTCTTTTTCTTTTTAGTTTTTTGAGACAGGGTATATGTAAATCATGCTCGCCTTGAACTCACTAGCCCAGGCTGGCCTTGAACTCACAGTGATCCTTCTGCCTCAGCCTCCAGAGTGCTGGGAGTACAGGCATGTGCCACCTCACCTGGCTTATACAGACTTAATTTTTGCTATGCCCCCAGTTAATACTTTTTGTCTTTCCACATATGTACATTTCTTCTTTTAACTTCTAATGGCTTCATAGTATCACATGGTTGTACCTCCACTTATATAACCAATTCTAGTTTTTGGTACCTGGCCTGTTTAGGGTTGTTTATTCTACTGTAAGCTACACTACAGTGAATATCCTTGACCACATAGTGTATTTTGAATACTTGTGCAAGTGTATCTGTGTTATCAATTCCTAAAAGTAAAATTCTGGATCAAGTGTTAATTCCAGGTTTTGTTTTGTTTTATGTGACATTGAAAGACACGTTAGTAGGTCCGTGTAGTGTTGTGGAGTAGTCTCACGTTTTATGCTCCAAGAGTTAGTTCTGTTTCATTCTCACTCTCTTCACGTGTCCCCATGTTCACTTCTGTTAGGTACTGTTAAATTGCCCTCCAAATGTGTTCTTACTAATTTATACCCTGGCCAGTGCATGACCACTTCTTCACCATTTCCAGCACTGACAGTCAGTAACAACATCTGACAGTATACTTGAAAGATGATAGGATTGTTTTTAATTTCCATTTGTGAGAAAAGTTAAGCTTTCTTTATCTGTGTAAGCCATTTGTATATGAAATATCCTTTAATCTTTTCCAACATTTTTTCTTCTGGGATGCTTATTTATAAGGGAAATGAGTTCTTTGTTACTTGTGAGGTGATACCCCCCCCCCCCATTTTTTCTTTGGACTTTTTTATTGCTTCCTCTTTTTGGGGAGTTTAAATGTTTATGTACTGAAGTACAAGTATTTTGCTCAGTGTAAGTATTAGGAAAATGGTAGCTCTCACTGATCAAAAAGATATTTTCACATTTTATTTAGATTTTTAAAATTCATATGTAACTTCAGCATATTGTGAAAATAACATTCTAACCTTTGAAAATGAAGCTAGCTATGTTATTAAATACTATGACATTTCTGCAATGGCTGTGCTCCCCAGGGTACATTTAGTAGTAACTGCAGTCATTGTTTGTCGTCACGGCTGGGGAGGGATACTATTGAACCTACTAGGTAGCAGCTGTGGATGTTCCTAAATACTCTGTAGTGCATAGAACAGTCCCCTATAGCAAAACAGTGCCTAGTCCAAAATACTGCATGGTTGAGGCACCTTGCCGTATTGACATGAAATACCACCTTGCAGATACTTGGGTCTATTTCTGTATCCCTTTTCATTCCTTTGAGACATACCAAATCCCAGGCTACTGCTGAATATGTTTTAATATAGCTATTATTGTAACCTTTTAAAACTGTTATTACTTTGGAATTTTTCTAGATTGTATAATATGTTTCAAAAGCTTATATGAAAAATGAAAATCTCCATCTAGCTCTTCATATTTAATTTTTGTTTAAATAGGAGGTGCAAGATGAAAATAAATTATTTAAATCCCAGATTGAGCAGTTTAAGCAACAGAATTACCAACAGGTAGGTACTATTAGATGTCTTGTCTTTTATTTATATGGTTAAAAAATTACATAACCAATAACTGTCTTGCCATTTTAAAAGTTCATCAAGAATAAAATATTTGTCTTTTTATTTGTATTTACCAAATTTGCTATAAAACAAAGTAATTTGCATGCTATGTTCAAGATAAAATAATCTACAATTTATAAAAATATACTCAACTAATATTACTGTCAGTATTTGAGCACTGTATGTCTGTGTTTTGATTGTCTAGTATGCTATTCATAGTAAGTCGGTTAAAATCCTGTAGAGGTCAGTTTAAATATATAGTATGTGTATACTCTTTCTCTTGTCTCCTGAAACAAAACATGCATAATTGGAGAGAAACTAGCAAATATGTAATATTATAAATGATGGCCTACCACTGTTAAAAGTACCTTTCCAAAGTGTAATTCTGCTTGATGAAATTAAAATAGAGTTTATAAAAAAGATATATTACCTACAAATTTCTTTACTTTATGGATGTTCCAGAATGTATTTTGAAGGACAAAAAATTAGAGTACTTTTTGACAAGAAGCTTCTAGTAGTTTAGTTTGGGAGACTGTAGTCATTAAAGAATAAATGTCGTATGTGAAGGCCGTGTACCTTTGCATGTTATGTAAAATGAACTCATATGTTAGGAAATTAACTTTTGCTAGTTTTCCTTTTGAGTGTATTTAATGTTCTTTTTTTCCCCGAATATTGACTTTATTTTTACTATAAAAATGCAAAGTTGGAAACCCACCCTACTTTTACCCCCTTTACTTCTTAAAAATAAAGTACTAATTCTATATACATCACATGTACCATACAAAAATGTATCCACAGTTCTTTTGCTACCAAAGTTCTAAAGTAAACCACATTACAGAAAGCCCCTAGTTGTAAACAAAAGATTACAAGTTACAAAATCAAAGTACACACAGGCTAGAGTCATTTATAGAACCACACCACGCATTCTGTTCCCAAACCAAGTCGAGTTGTTATGTGCCTGTATAAAAATACATATCAATATACCTTTGAAAATTTATTTTTCTTTATAAAGCAAATGAATACAATATCCGCTGGGAGGCACATCTGTGGGAGGGTGAGCGGCAGCACCTGCCTGGCATCACTGTTTAATTTTCTTTTTTAATTTTAGAAGCTTAAAATTTTTACATAGTGACGTATGAATTATGCAGTATGAAAATTTAAGATATTATCTTAGTACTTTGCACATAGGAGACTGATGAATACTTAAGTGAAGATTTTTTAAATATGTAGTGATGATGAAGATTGGAGTTAGCACTCAGTCCTTTTTGTAAATCTGTACATAATTATTAAAATCACTTGATTGAAGTTGAGATGCTGGCATTAGGGAATAAATACAGTAATTTTAGCTTTGGCTTAATTTTTATCTGAGAAAAATTTATTTTTCTGTCTTCTTAAAGCTTGTTTTGAAATAATGTTTATCTCTTTTAATAGGCATCTTTTCCTTCTCATGAAGAATTATTAAAAGTGTAAGTCGTGAGTTGAAGTGGTAACTTTTTAATGCGCTTACAAGTTCAGAGAAGCATTGTGATGTACCTGCACATGGTCATCTTGAGTTTTACAGTTACTTACATACCTTGAACTGTGGGGCAGTGGATCTTACCTGTGCTTCTTTGCCAACTTACATCCTTTTTAGGATATTTGGATTTCTTGGAAAAGATTTTTGATGGATAAGTTTGCATGTTTTTAGTCTTTCTGTTTTTTGTTTTTCTTTTCAGGCATTCAGAAAACACCCAATTGAATTATAGCAAACCCTTTAATTATCTCAGTTGTCCTACCGAGTCTTTATTCTGAATCTCATGGCAGAATGGAATGGTGCAAATTTTGGTTTAGCTCTTGCATTTAAAGAAAATCTATAATCTTTAGGATTGCTCTCTTAAGGAGAACTGTTTTTACGGAAAACCTCTTTTCTTATTGACCTATAATTTTATCTAAGAGCCTGTGTTCAAGGTCATTTCAGATACATTATAGTCTGTCTCAGCATGTTAAGTTTCAACCACATTAAGCATTCTTGCAGGTGATACAAGTAATCCAAATGTTCTTCCATCTTGGTTTGTTGATCCTTTATAAGGTTAGAATTATTTACTGTTTTAAGTCTTAAGTGTGACTATATGAAACAAGCCTGACACATATGTTCTATAACGGGCTTGATAGTGAATAGTTTAAGCCTTGTGAGGTACATAGGTCTCTATGTTTCCTTTCCTCTTTTCTTTTCATTACTTCTTCTTAAACTTTTAAAAACCTAAAACAAGAGGCTGAACATAGCACCATACACCTTTAGTTACACTTGCATGGTTGGGGCAGAAGGATCACTTGAGCCCACCTGAATTTGATTCCAGCCTGGGTAATATAGCAAGACCCTGTCTCAAAAAACAAACGAACGAGGGCCCAAGGATATTTAGTTCAGCGGTGCCGTGCCTGTCTCGCAAGTACAATGTCCTGAGTTTGATCCCCAGTACCAGAAAACCAATAAACAAATGAAACAACAACTTTCAGTTTAAGGGCTATATACAAATAGATTGTGGGCTGGGTAGCCTCTTATTTCAAGAGCAAAAATTAAGAAATTCTTACTTAAACTTTATAGCTAAAACCTTATATATAGTCTTATTCTTAAGAAAGAACCATTTATGATTTAATTTTCTACCCAAGCCACTCTCAACGATAACAGTTGAATTGTGACTCTCTGCCATTGCTTTCTGCATTTCTGAGAAATAAGTAACTCATTAGACAGAACGGGGAGGATGAAGAACCACGAAGCTTATGAGTATGGTGTGGAAATGTCAGGGGAACACCTATCATTTTAATTTACTGTTTTTTTGAGTGAGCCATTTAAAAGTCATAACTGATTTCATTGCCTTTGGGAAAAAACTACAGGTAAGGTACTACTTCAATATCAGTTGTCTGTCCTTAGAGAAATAGCTGCTGATGGGTAACACTACTGTAATCTCAGCATTCTGGGAGGCTGAGGCAGGGAGATGGCGAGTTTGAGCCCAGCCTGGGCAACTTAGTGAGATTCTGTCTCAAAAACTTAAAAGGGATGGGGTTAAGATGTAACTTAGCGAGAAGGCCCTGGATTCATTTCCCAGTGAACAAATAAATAACTACAAAATAAATAACGACTGCACTACCAGATATAAAGGGAAATAACAGCTATAGCAGTTCATAATTTCTTTTTAGCACAAACCTCAGCATGTCATGTGCGCAAACATTTAAAAAATTATTTCTGAAGTCAAGAATTCATAGGAATAGGCTTTCTGTAATAAACGTCGCTAAGCTGTCAATGCATTTTTCAAAACATTATCTATTTGTAGTAAGAATGATATGTAGTTATCTAAATTATATTACCCGTTAGCTAGGATCTAAGTTGTGTTTCTGCTTATCTAAAATTGCTCTTTACTGAAAACATGTATTCATATTCTGGTTTAGAATTTCAGAAAGAGAGAAAGAAATAACTGGTCTCCAGAATGAATTAGATTCTTTGAAGGATGCTGTTGAACATCAGAGGAAGAAAAACAATGTAAGCAAATTTTCATAAGAATGAAGCTTTTCTTTTTATTTCTTAAACATAGAAAGAGTTCAGGAGTTTCTTTTTTCTTTGAATATTTTCACTTTATATTTCTAAATCTTTGTAAGAAAATACTGTTGCTTTTTGCTTGTAGCTTTTGGAGGGTATTAGAATAATGTTATTGGAGAACAGATTTTTTTTTATAGATGAGGCCAATTTTTACACTTAGGAATATCACTTTAAATGTTGAAGCTATGATTATATTAGTTTTTTTTAAGTAGCAGTTGACTTTTTCTTTAGTTTTTAATCTGGAAAAATAGTTCTATCAAAGTCAGTATTTTACAATCAAAGGTATTTCTTCTTATTTAGATCAGGCTACCCTTTTTGTAGACTAAAAGTAATACCAGTATTCAAACCTAATATTCTCAGTAATTTAAGTTTTTGGAGCCTTCTGGGGTTTCTCTTTTTTTAACTGAAAGACATGCCTGTGAATTTTGGTGAGCTGTTGGAGGCCTTAGAACCTGAATAAATTTATACTATAAAATGGAAAGGAGCCGATTTTGAAGAACTACAACTCTAATGCAGTACTTGTACTGAGCAAATAGTGAATGTAGGTGAATTTCACAAATTCTTAAGGGGGCTGGGGATTTAGCTCAGTGGTTCCACTGTACCTTGCAAGTGCAAGGACCCGAGTTCGATTTCCAGTACCAAAAAAAAATTCTCTTAAGGGGCCATACCTACAAAGTTCATATTCTAACTAGAGAAGGAATATTTGCACGCAAAAGTATGATTACTAAGACTTGGGCAGGGCCAAAATGTTACTGAAATCTAAGAGAATATTGATAATAAATGGATATATTTTCTAATGTAAGTTAAAATTTTCAAAGTTTACATTAAATTTTTAATGTAATAAGTTGGCATTTTCCTGCACCCCTGAGTTTGTCAAAATTAGGTATGTGAATTGCCCTTGGTGTGTTGTGTAGCATCACTAATAGCACTGCTCAGCCACAGATGATAAGGTGAACTTACCAACATCCTGCTAACGTCTTGACTGTGTTTTGTGCTGGGATTCTGAGATAAGGAGGGCATGGCAATGCCAGTTCAATACAGCAGCACCAGCAGCCGCCGGCACAGCACCTGGAGGCCTTGAGACAAGTGGCAAGAGCCAGGACATTGGAGGCCAGCATAGTGTAGTGCCTACTCTAGTTCTGCCTCTTCATTTGCTGTGTGTGCTTGGACAGATTTCCTAACTTTCAGCTATGGCTTTCCCATCCATACAATGGGAATACTGTAGTTTATAAATTGTTACAAGGATTAATGAGAGTTTATGAAGTATAATATTTGGCACCTAAGCATTCAATAAGTGGTGATTATTGGCTTTTCATTTTAGATTGAAATATAGCATAGTGTCTGTAATTCCTAATGAAATGCAATTAAAATCTAGATCTTTCAGAGCTCAGTTTTCAGTTATCTCTATTTCCTCCTCTAAGAGAACGTGTTTTATAGCTTTCCAGCCTCCCCATTTGCCTCAGTCAGGTACTTTGTACAACTGGTGTCAGGTTGTTTTGTGACATACATTTGGAAAGATATAGAATATAGTGAATTAATTCTGTGTCATTCCTAGTTAGATTAGAAAGATGTTAACTATATTAAAAGAGTTAGAGGGAAAATGTGGTGCTGCTATGGAAAGTCCCATGAGTGGTTTGAACTTTGCTTTGAAATCATGTGAAAAGCTTTTATAATACGTGTATATTTGCTCTGTCTTTAATCCTTTAATATGTGGTAACTGAATTCATGCTTGTAATGGTGGTTTGTGTGTTTAATTTTGAATGCTTTCTTCGTCTCATATGCACAGTAATTGTTTTAAAAGCTGGCACATTTGGCATGTATACTAAAACTTGGAAAGTGGGCGTCTATTTTCTCATTCAACTCTAAACATTGCTTTTTATTTTTTGCTCATATGCATATTTTCCCATTGAAATAATTTTGCAGTAACCAGCATTTAAATGCAGTGCAAAATACTGGTGAAAGTAAAAAGCAAAAATCTTTTAATAATGGATAAACTTAAATCATTCTTTCTAAAAATGATTAGGACCTTCGGGAGAAAAACTGGGAAGCAATGGAAGCATTGGCATCAACTGAAAAAATGCTGCAGGACAAAGTGAACACGACTTCCAAGGTTGTAACATTAACTTGTAGAAACGGTCCACGGAACAGAAAAAATCTGCAGCTTGTCTTAAAATCAGACTAAAGCATTTAATTCTACTGCAATTTAAATATTAGATCTCCTTGTCCATATTTATCATCTCTGTCATCTTTGCTTTTCTCATCTACTCCTTGAGGTTTTAATTTTGGACATGCTGAATTGTTGGGATGACTTACTTCATTGTTGGAGCTTTGGGGAGCACTGCTTTAATTAAGCTGCACAATCTCAGGAGGCCTGTGCTATGCATGCAGGCCTTGTTGGACAGGGTGTGCCTGTGGGGGTGATTAAGAGAACTTTGAAATCCCCGAACTAAAGAAATCAGAACTATTGACAAACACATGTAAATGCCTGGTACGTGTCTACAATGCATAGTGGACTAGGGTTTTTGGAGGCAACATCAAGACTCAGACAAGGTGTGGAAATGACAGAAGGTTTAAGAAACACAGGAAAGAGATCAGTTTTGAGTGTGTTAATGGGGAAGGTTCCTTAGAAGAGGGAGACTTAACCACAGTACATCTGAAACATGTATCCCTCTTTTGTTTTCAGAACAATGAAGGACATTCTTCTTGAGCTTAAGTTATCCATTGAGTGTGAAGATTTCTAATTGTAGTGGAGAGAGAATTTTTAAAGATTGAGACAGTGTATTGAAATTTGCACATGGATTAGTGGATACCCATATAATTATACTGAGCATTCTAAAAACTTTGTGTACTTGGATAATCTGTTGAATTTTAAATACAAGTCTCGGGGATATTTGACTTTTCTAAACAGAATATATTTTCAGACCAAAAATTTGCATTACCTTTGTAATTATATTTAATTCAGTGGATTTATACCTATTTACCTGTAATTTTCACTAATTCTTAAGTTTGAGATACTTCGTAGTATTAGGACCAGAAAAACAATAGGCCAGAGAATAGAAAAATTAAGGCCAGATGAGATATTGTTTCATTGTCAGCAGTTGCAGTTGTACAGACATTTCTGTCAGCAATGAGAATTCTGTTACGATTTCTCTGCCCGCCCCCCAGAGCTACACTTTTGCTTTTATTTTGTTAGTGGCACTAGGAACTGCTGATCATGCCATTTCTATAGAAGTTACTATATATGCCATTGGCCAGAAGCGTATTATGGTTACAAAAGAAAACTAGAGCTATGTGCATGATGGTTTCTTGCAGAGCTAATAATGTATAGAGAGAATTCACGGCCTTCTCTGTTTCAACGGAATTTAGACAGTCCTTAGAAAGTATAGGTGTGAAGTGGTGTTGATTTATTTGCTGCCACAAACTGTACTAGCAAAGCAACACATCTTTAGGGTTTTAGGTGCCAGAAATAAGTAACTTCAGTTAGCTTACCTAAAATGTAACAGAAGTGTGCTACTACTTTTCCAGTATTATTTTAAAAATAATATTCTTGAGCTACTATAAGTGACGGGTTTATATGAAAGATAATTTTTATATATTTCACCTAAAGATGGTAATGAAATTATAAGTCCGATTTCCAACATTAGATCTCTTCCTGGTGTTAATGTGAAGTGGAAATTGCTATCTACAACTTATTATGTCAAAGAAAAACTCTGTAGTTAAAATTGTTAATATATAATAAAAGTAACTTCTCATGTTTGTAGCTCCTGATTACAAGTTATACACTTACTTTAGATTTGGATTCATTTTCTCTTGGAAATTTTTCAAAACACGTCTGTTCCTGAAGGGTGTGGTGGCACATGCACTTTTGGGAGGCTGAGGCAGAAAGATGGCAAGTTCAAACCCACCTGGTACAATTTAGTGACACTGTCTCTAAACAAGTGCTGGGGATGTGTAGGTCATTGCTGGGTACTGGGTTCACTCCCCAGTACCACCACCACTACCACCAAAAAGAAAGCTTCTGTTCCAGTGCTTTTTTAAAATTGATTTTCCTTAAAGAGTGGTCTAGCAGCTGGATATGGTGGAACATGCCTGTAATCCCAGCACTCAGGAGACTGAGGCAGGATAGCTGTGAGTTCATGGCCACTCTCTGGGCTACAGTGAAACTCTGAACTACATAGTGAGACTCTTGTCTCAAAGAAAAAAAAAAAATCTAATCAAATGGTAAAAATTCTCTCTGAGTTGTCTCTGAAGTAACAGTTATTTTCCTTGAGTGGATATACCTTCTTTTAGATAGTTTTGTATATTCCTGCGATGTAGTGTTTTTTAATTGGCTGAAAATACCCCAGTAAAATACTTATAGATATTGCCACTAATCCTTGATAAAGGAACAGCTTTTTGAGTGTATAGAATATGATAAAATCTATAGCTTTGTTAGGCAAATTTAGAGTTTTTGTGTGATTAGATTTAGTTAAATTGAAGTGTGTGCACCTTAAACCAATGGTAGATTTCAAAGATCACCTCTAACTGATGGAGAAATGTACTAGTGAGATATTGCTGGCTTGTCTGCCTGGTCACCCACTTGAGCTTCACGAGTGTTGTTTTCAAATGATTTACTTGCCTTGGTTTACACGTGCAATTTTCAAGCTGTCTTTTTTTTTTTTTTAAATCTTGCAAAGATTGTTTGAATATTAGATTTTTGGTGGTGCTGGTGGTGTGGGGTTTGTGATCGAATCATTGCCCTGATTTTGACAAACCATGGTTTTGAGTTTGATTGATATCCATTAGAGTTGCATTTAAAACCAGTAAATTTAAAAAAAATTTTTAAAAAAATCGGTAAATTTAGACTGACATATTTGTAATGATTTAAATTTACAACTGACGGAGCCTATATAGAAGTGGCGGAATTAGTCTCCTTGATGTTTGGCATAAGTAGAATAATTTATTATCAGTTTCTCCTTGCTTTCTTTCCTCTTTTTCCCATTTCTACCACCCATCAAATTTTGATGGTCTTTTTTGTTTTGTTTAGCACAGATGTCTTCTCCTGACTTTGAAGACGGAAATATGGAGGTTGCCATTTTATTCCCATGCCATTTCTTTTTCTTCTTCTCCTCCTGCTTCTCCCCCTTCCCCTTCTCTTTTCTTCATCCCCTCCCTCTGCCTCTCCTTCAGATTTACTTACCATTAAGTTTGTTATATGTTTTTTGACAAGGTAGTTTATAAAGTTTTAGCTATAAGAACTGTGTTTTGTTTTATTTTTGATTGTTGTTTCAGGGGTTAATTTTTCTCAGAAATCCGTTGATTTCTAATGCCAAGGAAAATGTCCAGTTTTTCAAGTCTTTTGTCTTATTAATAAATATTTGTTATTTAGGATACTTTACAGATTTTGCAGGTTTTTTTTCTTATGGAAGCGTTTTGATTTCTTAAAATGGGAAAATTTGATATTTGTCAGTATTAAAATAATTTTACATTGACTTTTCCTCCTTTAAATCTTAAAAAGACCATAGTGTTTTCTCTTTTTTAGATTTCATTATCTTCTAAATTTGACTTGGTATATCTTCTGCTTTAGGAAAGACAATGTGTGGAAGCAGTTGAGTTGGAGGCTAAAGAAGTTCTTAAAAAATTATTTCCAAAGGTGTCTATCCCTTCTAATTTGGTAAGACCAATTTCTTTAAAATACCTTATTTAAGAAAGTTGTATATACATAGGATTTGTTCTCATCACTTGGATTGATAGATTCCTTAATGTTTGCCATTATTAACCCAGGGTCCTTTTGAGTAGTTAGGATTAATAACTTAGTCTAAAACTCATTTTTTTATTCCCCTGATATTTTTGTTGTGATCTGTAAAATTCAGATTATCGTAATCACCATATTTGGGAAGGAAGTATTTCTGAATGGTTAATAAGATCAATAATACTCTTATTGCCTTTCTCAAAGTAGAACTGAGTTTTAAGTGATTACCTATTCATTTTAGCAATGTTTCGGAATGTATTTGATACCATTGACGGGCTCTTTACATTTCAAAAATTCAAGATTTTGATCACCTGTTAATTTCTTCAAGCAAAAGTCTTGAAGATAATAGAGAATTTGCTTTACTTAAGTTTGACATCTTTTAAATGGGAGAGAATTTACTCAGGTTCAGAAAATTAATGTAGTAGAGAAGGCCACTGAGGATGCAGGTTGTTTCCTGGAGTAGGTGAGCATTTGAATGGAAAATGGTTCACATGTTCAAAAGTAGAAAGAATAGAATAATGAGCCTAGCATTCCACCTCAGCAATTATATGTTATGTGACAGTACATAAACTCTTATCTTCTTCCCACTTGGCACTGCCCAGATCATTTGGAAGGAACACAAGCCTCACTGTTACATCTGAAAATATTTGAGTGCATATTTCTAAAGGATAAGAATTCCTTTTTAAATGTCATTAAAAATACATCCTTAATTTTGTATAGTCATTGCTTGATTCCTCCAGTTAGCACTTAAAACTTTTAATGAAAAAATAACTCATGATAGTTTGTTTTAATCGGGACCCAAATAAGATCAACATGTGACTGGATTGAGATGTTATATTCCACAAGTTTCGCTCCATCAGAAACCCCTCTACCCATTTTTCTCTTTTAAACCTAGTAGTTTCCTATGGAGTTTTCCTCAGTTTAGATTTAGCTGGTGTCTTTGTGTAGCCCATGAGTTGGTATTCAGTAGAGGCCTAATCAGATTCAGTCTTAGTATTTTGGAGGTAGAGGTCTGTGGGCAGTTGTATTCTTCCATCAGTAGTAGGTCATTTAGAATGTCTGCTTTGTCTTCCCTGGAGCTTATTTAGGCTGGCTCTTGAGTCTTTTTGACACAACACTACTAAACTTTGTTAACTTATGTTAACTTCTGTGCTTCATGGTATAACAAGATGTTGGTGATTCATTATATTTCCCATCCCAAACATGGTATCTGTTTCTAGAGGAGCTCTGGTCCTCTAGGTGTGGGTGTTAAGGGTGGTATAAGTAAACTTAATGGCCTGTTCTGTGTATAGTCCGAGTTTAGCTGCTTTTTTTTATTACATGACATAAAATCTGCATTTAATTCAAGTAAAGAGAGAAAATTCTTTTGTTTCCATTGTAAACATTGATGATACATTTGGGCGTGAACAGTTAAGTAGATCGCTGCCACTTGAGTTGAACTTTTGTATCTGTTTTATTTCTATTTTACATTCTGTTAATAGAAATAAAACAGAGGTTTATTTATTTGATAGTATTTTATGAGCCAAGAGAGTTAATGCATAGTAGTTTCTGTTCTTCAAAGCTTTTGTAAGATCACCAGCAGTAAAACTTCTTTTTAATGTAGCAGATTCAGTCTTTTTTTTTTTTTGGTACCAGGGACTGAACTTGGGACCTTGTGCTTGCGAGGCAGGTGGCAGAACCACTGAGCTAAATTCCGGGCCCCAGACTCAGTCTTAATAGCAGTTCTACCTACCTTCAATAAACAAATCTTCATGAATCTATAAAAATTTACAAATCACTGTAAGCCCTGGGTGATACTCTTTGGCTTTTGTTCATACATTTGCTAGAAATTGAATATTTCTGTATGCAGTCTGTATTTAAGAAATATACTAAATGTTCTGTGGGCTACTCAGAGTTTAGCATTTTAGGTTTTCAAAAGGCATGAAAGACAATCTACTATTTACCTTATATGGTCATAAATCAATAAGCTTCATTAGTATTAGCACGATAACATAATCATTAGTAATCATTAGTGCTATTTTTGTTTTGCTAAGCAGATCAGCACAGGGAAGATTAAACTATATGACCTGAAGGGAGATTTATAAACTCTAAGCAATTAAATCAGCTTTTCATCTGATTTTATGTTGAATCTCAATATTTGAAGCTGTTAAGTAGGATTTTACAAGTATACATTTAATCTTGATTCAAATTTATGATGTCAGAATGTCATTCTTTTAAAATGGAGAGGCTTTTTAAGCTAGTGTTATATTGAAGATTAGAGAATACTGTGAGGTGTTTTCAACATCCACTTTTGTTTTTATTCTTGATAGTTTATAGAGCATTCTGATTCAGCCACTTAAGTGAAGCTTTATCTTGAAGAAATTAATAGAAATAGTATGAGAATTTTTCTTTTTCTTGAATTAGCTAAACCAAAGACTCGAGGAGTAAGAGAAAATTTGATACACTTATTTCTTAACTTTTGTGAAATATTTTCAGGAATCTGGAGCACCTTCAAAGAATTTGAAGTTTTTAAAATTTAAATACTTTAAGAAATATCTTGCTTGGAAAAAAGTATTGAAAAATTACTCATTCTGGATTTTTATTGTTTTAAAGATTGAATTCATTGATCCTGGTGCTCATACGTAGGAGAAGCCAGATTTGAGCCTGAGTCTTCCATCTTTAAGTCCATAATTCAGTTGCAAATATTTTTGATCAGGATAAATAAGATTTTATTTTGATGGTAGTATATAGGTATATTTTCGGTGTTTAAAGACTGGATTATGTTCCAGTTAAAGTTATATTCCCTTTTGAAATTTCTTGGGGGATGGTGATGTCTATATAGGTTTCTTTTAGAACTACCTACTGATTGTCTCAAATGTTTCATCATTTCTTTGGGATATTTTTTGGAAATCGATGACTTTGACTTTTTTCCTTCGCAGAGTTACAGTGAATGGTTGCATGGATTTGAAAAGAAAGCAAAAGAGTGTATAGCTGGAAGTTCAGGTTCAGAAGAAGTTAAGGTTAGTTTAAGAAGTGAACTATCTGTATTTTAATGAAACCTGGGAAAAAAGGAGCAAGTCAGAGTTTGTTTTCATATGTTCTGGAGAGATAAAGGATCTCTTTTTAGGAGAATAATAATTTATTTATTTATTTATTTGGGTACCAGGGATCAAACTCGGGACCTTGCGCTTGCGAGGCAGGCGGTGGAATTACTGAGCTAAATCCCCGGCCCAGAATAATCATCTTTTATTTAAGAAAAATAGAAGGGAGTGATCATTTTGTGTACATTTTAGTGTCTTCGCATTTGATTTATGTACAAAGCTAATGTTTTTCCTTTTCTAAAACTGAATATGTAACTCTTTCTTGCTCTGTTTAGCATGAGTTTATTTTTTTTAGTTTGGATATTATTAGTACATGTTTGGAGTACATGGAGTTACAGTCATGTTGGCGAGTGGTTACATGCGTGTGCCTGCCACAGCTTGTCGGCCCCCCCCCCATTCTCTTATCCCATTTTTCTTAAGTAGGGGACACTTCCCAGATGTGTGTGTCATCCTTGCATAGGGACCGTGCTAAATCTTCACTGTGTCATTCCATTTTTAGTATATGTGCTGCTGAAGCGAGCACTAGCCAAAGTTTAAAAAACAAAAGTCAGTGAGGTAGTAGGTAGAGTTTCACCAGTTTGCTCAAGTTTCATCAAATAAATAATTAGGAGTATCGGAACCGGGCTTGATTTTTACCTTTCACCTCTGAAATTGAAGGGAATTATTATTGTTGTTCTCTTGTATCCTAAGTGGCAGTTGTGTGGCATAGGCATTGTGACCTTTACATGTGCATCTGCTTTGATTTTACCATCTGGCTAAGGAGAAATAAGCCTATTTATTATAAAATTATATAGTATATTTTGTAGTGAGCAGTTTTATTAGTGACCATCAGATGTGACCAACAGAGTTACTGTACTTAATTGCCACTTAGTGTTTTGTTATAAACCATTTGAAACCATTTTTGTAATATAAAATTAAGTCCTTAAATAAAATTGAAGCACAGAATTTACTGATAAAAATTAGAGAATTTATTTTTATTTTATTCTTTGCAGGTTTTAGAGTATAAGTTGAAAGAAGCTGATGAAACACACACGCTATTACAGCTGGAGTGTGATACGTATAAATCAGTCCTTGCAGAAACAGTAGGAAATGATTTTTAATCTACATTTTATTTTTCATCTATTAACATACTCTTTCATAGCCTAAATAGTTTATCGTGGCATTGTAACATGGGTTTTTCAAAACTGTATCTTTGTAGGAAGGAATTTTACAGAAGCTACAGAAAAGTGTGGAGGAAGAGGAAAATAAATGGAAAGTTAAGGTGGATGAATTACAAAAGACAATTAAGCAGGTACTTAAAGAAGAGCTTAGGACACTGGTTCTCAGAGATAGGGCCTGGACTAGCACTGTCAGCACCAGAGACTTCCATGAGAAGTGCACCTTCTTAGCCTCACCCCAGACTCACTGGGTCTGAAACTTGTGAGGGGCAGTAGTCTGTGTTTTCATAAACCCTCTTGGTGATTGTGATGCCTATCCACACTTGAAAGTCACAAGTTTATAGAGCACAACCACACAGGGGTAGTGATGGAGAATGTAAAGTGATTTGAGAGAATTTCTATTCTGTAACATATGGTGAAGAGTTCTGGGTTCAGAATTAATTTTAAAATATTGATAATTGGCCGGGCTTGGTGACATGTGCCTGTAATCGCAGCACTTGGAAGGCTGAGGCAGGAGGAGCACTGTGAGTTTGTGGCCTGCCTGGGCTACATAGTGAGTTCAAGGCCAGGTTAACTACATAGTTAGACCGTGTCTAAAAAAAACCAAAAAAACAACAAAAAACAACTTTGATAACACATGATGTATTCAAGAAAAAGTTAATTGTAGTTTTGTGAGATCCACATATTACTGTGCAGTCTTCATTTTTCTCTATTTTGCTTGGATGTGGTAGAATGTGCCATTTTGGTACACATGTATTTTCTTAGGCACTTTTAATTGGGCCTAATATAATCTCAAAAAAAGTGAAATTCTTATTGTTAAGGTCTTTGAAAAGTCAGTATGATTTTAAGTGAGAAGCTCTGAACTGTCTTAATTAATTTAAAATTATAGACAGAAATCTGTGGCCTGCCTTTTTCCCTGTATGAAAAATGTTATAATAAAAATGTTAAAAGGAAATTTGTTACTTACATATTTATTATATTATACATTTTATATGCAGCCCAAGATAGTTCCTCTTCACTCACAAAAAAAAGCATCAGAAAAATAAAAAATGGTGGGCTGCAGGTTGGACACACTTGCCTATCTCCTCTGTGGTTTACTTGGTCTTAAAATTATTTTTAGATGCTATTATCAATTACGTCTTCAGAGCAAGAGTTAGAGCAATTAAGAAGAGAAAATAAAGATATTGAAAATGTATGTTATTTGTCTTATAACCTATGAGCTTATTTATAGTATTACGGGTTGCCCGAAGATTTGTTTTTCAAGATTGCCTTTATCTAATGATAAGTTATTCTCTCCATATGTTGTGTAGTTATTTGAGTTGATCCAGTTTTATATTCATAAGTGTCCTAACTTTCATTGTGAAGAAACATCATGAAAGGAAATCTTACATGTGTTGACTGTTCCTTCTTTGTTGCCTTACTAGCTGAGAAGAGAGCGAGAGCATTTGGAAATGGAACTAGAGAAGGCAGAAATTGAGCGATCTACTTACGTTACAGAAGTGAGAGAGGTACTTAAAATTCTTTCAGCCTTGTTTCTCAATTTAAATTAAGTTTGTAATGGACTGCTAAAATAATTCAGTGTAAGTTGTTTGTGGAAGAGCTTCCAAAACATGGGATATCATAAGAAGATCGATCTTAAAACTCTAAACTTCATTGCAGCTGAAAGATCTGTTGACTGAATTGCAGAAAAAACTTGATGATTCATATTCTGAAGCAGTAAGACAGAATGAAGAGCTAAATTTGGTAAGAAGCTTGTTCTCCACTGAGTACCAAGTAGGCTCTGGAAACACTTGTGTTGACATGTGGAGAAACCATACAAACCTTTTTTCCTTGCTAACCTAACCATCTATCTATAGCTTGGCATTTTATAAATTTTAAGATAATCTTCATATTCTGATGACTCCTAAGATGATCTTTCTTTTCTTGACTCATAAAATGATTCTTTTCTTAACTCCTAACAGTGGCATGTTTGGCTTCCGACTCTTTTTCAAACTTTTCTATATTTTTATAAAGCCTAATTCCTCAAACAACATTATTTTTAGCAAATAGAGAAAGAAAACAAATGATTGGCTGAGTTGTGAAGATTCTTCTCTCAAGCTATCATAGTTAACTGGGCCTCTCATTTTCTAACCCGGAAGATTATTAAAGGTTGAAGGTACCTGCTCTTCATTCTAGGGCAGTAGTTCAATCCAGCTTATTTTATATAATCTTCCTGTAAATTATAAAATACAAGAAGCCTGTAAAATTCTTTATCAAAATATTATTTAGCTCATAGTAATCCAAAAATGCAGACTTAGAGATTAATTGAATGCCTTAAGACATGATTCCACGCATTCCAGTTCTTAAATTTTCTAAAAATTTATACTGATTGTTGACAGACTTAGCTGTTGGATGATTATGGTCTCTTGTTCCCTGTTTCAGACATGTATTACATCTTGTAACTTGAAATTTGTTATAGCACAGGGTTAGATTTTTTTTTTTTAAGTACTTAAACATACTGTTTGTTAGAGAAATTACAGTAAATTTTTTCTTACCCAAAATTAACCCTGCCCATCTTGGAATTTTCTTGTTGGCTACTTTACATGTACCAAGGAAGATTTTTAATTCATTAATTTGTGGCTGTTCTATGTTATGGCAGTGATTTATGAGAATCAGCATATTATGTGAAATACATACAGAGCACTACACACACCTTTATTTTTTTAAATAAAATATTTGCCTTATTTACCAGTGCTGTAGTTGAACTCATTCCCACTGCAGTGTAAGACTAGTTTTATGTACATGTTTGCTATTCATTGCGTAGATCCAGGACTCTGATATACCACTTTTTAAAAAAATTCTTTTTATATAATTTATATATAATGAGATATAAGGGAATGTGTTTTTTAAAAATCTTCTCCAACAACTAGTTAGTTAGTTTTGCTTTTTAATTTCAGGGCCTAACCTTGCATCAAATTCATAGGATTATGGTTGCATCTCAGTTTAGTCCGATGCTCTTTGTTTCTTGTTGTTCTTGTTTGTTATTGTTGCTTTGCCCTCTACTTTTTGACAAGAGACCATTTTAAGTTTTATTCCCTTCACCCTTCTTCCCTTTTGTCTTAAGTTTGGAATCTTTATTTGTTCTGGTTAACTGTTGCCACAGTTCAAGATAAAATAATTTTGCCTATGCATACTCTTTGTTTTGGGACCGGAAGACTGACCTCTCTGACACAGAGTATTAAACTCAGGATTAATTGAAGAAGCAAAAACTGTTTTGGTATTTAAGTAGAGTTCCCCCAAATAAGATTCCCAAATTGGAATGCCTCCCATTAGCTAACCCTCCCACTTTTATAAGTCAGTGTCATACATTTTCCCCTCTTAAGGCCCAGAACTGGAAAGTCATGCCTGTCTGTGGACTGGGTATGGGGGAAGTGACTGGATGCACTTGGTATTTTGAAGGCAGCATAGTCCATTTCCCTGATATCTTATTAGAACAGTTGTCAGAGAAGAAGCACTAGAGATCTGTATAGCATTATTACTTTTAATAGATTGGTTATTGAGATTATATGATGAAGACATTTCTTGCTGGTGTGATTTAGATCAGTGTGGTCTTGCACTGACTTTTAATGAAGTCTATAAGACGGTCAACAGTTTTGTTCATCTTACTGGATTTGTAATCTTCAGTGTCTTTAAAATATTACACAAATGAGTCTTTAATTGAACTGTATAGATTAAGAAGGCCTTTAAAATAGTGAAATTTCTGTTTGCTGTTAAGTTTGGAATAATTTCAATAAATACTTTATAAATGGTGATTTGGTGGTTTTGTTTTTGGATTTTCAGTTTTCTCCTCTAAACTCTAGTTCATTTCTATAGCTTTTCCTATGTTTAGTCCTACAGATGGAAACCTTGTACTGCTTAGCTTTTTTGAACATCTGATGCAGCATAGTGGCTAATCCACTGTGTTTTACACTGTTAGCGATCCCATTCTTTCATATTTATTCTTTGGTTCTTAGGGTATCAGGATAATCAAGGAAGGATGTGAAGTAAATGGTGTTTTCTGTTTTTTCAGTTGAAGACACAGTTAAATGAAACACTCACAAAACTTAAAACTGAACAAAGTGAAAGACAGAAGGTAGCTGGTGATTTGGATAAGGTAAGGCACTGCTAGACTTGGCGGCATCCAGCATGTGTTGTGCCTTGCATCTTAGTCAAAAGCACTATCAATTCTAGTGTTCTTTTGCATCCCTTATAAATTTAAGCTGTTTGTTGTGTAGTTAACTTTTTTTGGAACTACACTTTGATGTAGTTTTCCATTTTTTAAAAAATTGAGTTTATTTTGGTACATTTTAGGTATACCTTATGATCACATTCATTATTGGGAATTTGTACCTGTACATGATATATCTTGGTTCTTATTTTTTCCCATAATTCACTTCATCACGTTTATGTAATTTTATGAACTATAGAGTAAACTTTTAAATTTAGTTGCAATTATTTAAATTTGGTTACATCATATTTTTTTAAATTGAGACTTGGCTAGCCATTTAGAAAGTACGTTTCTGTTGATCATTATAAGGGTTAAATTTCTGATACTGCAGCAGTTCCTTTGATTTATTTCTTTATACAGATAGAGTTTTCTTAATCTCATTTACAGGTAGATGATTTTTTAAGACTATATTTCTTTGTAGTTTTATTGTGAGATACTTTCAGTGATACAGTTCATATACATTTTTATCTGTATTCTTTTGAGCTGTAGTAGAATTTATGGGAGATACAGTCATTAGCAAAACAATTATATATGTCATTTTTTTGGAACTGCAGAATCAAGGGGTATGTGTACACATCTAAAATTTTGATAGTTATTGTAAACTGAACCCCCAGATATAGTAGTGATTCATACTCCTCCCAGCATGGTCTTAAGAGTTTCCGTTACCTATACCCCCACTAGTATTGAATACTTCTAAACATTTAAATATTTGTTATTCTAATAGACTTTTCCAAAGTATCTTATTTAAAAGCTATGTCACCTTTTAAAATATGAAATAGTTTTGTTGGTTATGTTTGCTTATGATTGTTGTCATGGAAAAGTATAGGACTTGCAAGTGCTTCATTTTATTTTAATATAGATAAAATGTGAATGTAAGAAGTTTGGTTTAGAGGAGAAACTGATGCATGATACACTGTCAAAGTTGAGCTCTGAATTTACTTTTTTTTTTTTTGGTACCGGGGATCAAACTCGGGACCTTGCGCTTGCGAGGCAGCCAGCGGAACCACTGAGCTATAAATCCCCAGCACCCTGAGTTTACTTTTGATGGGTTATTTTAATTAATGACCTGGAGCGAAAAACAAACAGGCAGTTTTAGACTAGGAGTGTACTTTCACAGTATTAAACAGATGCTCAGTGGTGTACATGGACAATGTTATGACGGCTAAAATGGTGATAACAGATAGCAGTCACTTGCCTGTATCTGTATAATAGTACTGTGAAACCCTCAATTGGAAATGCACAAAATACATAATAACTGAAAAAGTTAGCAAAATACTTTTGGAAACAGACAAATATAAAACAGCATGTATGGTAAACCCCATTTATATAAAACTTCCTGGCAGTTTTCTCTAAGCACATATTACCTACACAGATCTAGACTAGGAGTCAGCAAACCCATGGACTGTTAGAGTTTGTAGGCCACGTGTAGTCTCTTGAATATTCCTGTCTCTTTCATTTTTAAAAATGTTTAAAAACATTAAAATCATTCTTAGATTTGAGCAGTACAAAAACAGGCTAGATTGGAGTGACTCCTATTCTAGACTAATACTAACCTAAACATCAACCATGGTCGTCTCTATTTAAAATTTCTTTATAGTTTTATGTATTTGAACTATCTGCAACAGTGGGCACTTGTTCTCATAATCTGGTGAGGGATATAGCTGTTGTCATTTTGTATTGTATTTTCAAAGGACTTTAATTTTGTGCAAAATATATAACTAAGCACTCATTTTGTGTGTATTTATCAGTTACCATATTGCTTTTCTTACAGGCGCAAGAGTCACTGGATCTTATCCAGTCAAAAATAGTACAAGCTGCCGGAGATACTACTGTTATTGAAAATAGTGATGTTTCCCCAGAAATGGTATGTATTTCCTTCAACCCCAGATCCTTGGGCCACTTATCTTACAAGCTATGTGCAGGATCCATCTCTGACTGAAAAACATGCTTCTGCCAGTTATGTTGCACCTTTTTTGTTTGGTTGGTTTTTTGCAGTGCTGGTACTCAAACGCAGGGCCTAACACTGGGCAAGTCAGATTCAACCATTGAGCTAAACCCCAGCCCCTATGTTGCACACAAAATTGCAAGTCAATTTTCTTCAAAATAGTGTATCTCTATAGTGCACTGTTTTCATTGATATTTGTTTTCATTTTAACGTGGTGAGATATTATGTCTACTCTCAAGGTTTGTGTGGAGAGGTACTGTGGTGTAGTTCTTAATTCAGGGTGTAAGTGCTGAAGACGGACCGCCTGTGTATGAATCCTAGCCCTACCGCTTAGCTTAGTACCTTCGTGTGTGGTTAGGCAAATTCCTAGTTGTTCTGTGGTTTGGTTGCTCCATTTGTACAAGGAAATAATACTAGTTCCTATCTTGTGGGGTTATTGGAAGGAATAAATGAGCTAATTTGTAAATTACTGGGTTGGGAATGTAGCTCTTCCCTAGCATGCATGAGGCCCTGGGTTCTATCCCCATCAAGGAGTTGGGGCTAGGGTGCAAAGGCCTACAGTAGTGAGGCAGCACTTAGAACTGCCTGGCACCCAGTAAGAGCTCAGCATCTGTTAACTGATTTACTGCATGGGGTTTTGTTTTTGTTTTTGTTTTTTCTGAAAGGAAAAATGGATTTATTTCTGATATTCAGAGATTCTAGGTTTTTCTTTTCGAGGCCAAGGACAAAATTTCCTGCAACATAATCTTCCTTGATGCTGACTAGTTTGCACCAGTAGTTAACACTCTCTATGTGGTTTTTGCTGATGCTAATTTTTATTTCATTTTTCATAATTTTCATGTTTGTATTTGAAATAAGATATTTTCTGCTTTTGTTTGCACATTGTTTTCCTTGTATTTGGAGTTTTTCATCACTCATCTCTTTTTTTCAGGAGTCTTCTGAAAAGGAGACAATGTCTGTAAGTCTAAATCAGACTATAGCACAGTTACAGCAGTTGCTTCAGGCTGTAAACAAACAGCTCACAAAGGAGAAATAACACTACCAGGTTTGGGTAAGAATAAATGGAGTATTGCTGTCTATTAATTGACGTAGTGGGAGAAGGGTATGTGTGATATATATTTACCACAAATCAAGAAAATTCATTTTTCCAAAAGAAATATTTCCTCATTATTTCTGTCAGAACTTTCAGATGATAGCCTTTACCTTCTTTAGAGTTTTATCTCCATCTTGTGTGTAGTTCGAAGGCCTTTTGGCTTGGAAGGGACAAAACCTTTATCTTTGCTAAATTTGATCTTTATATTAAACACACTCTCTTGTGACTTGGCGCCCTGGGTTTGTCTGTTGCCACAATACCTGGTACATCATTAGTTTCTTCTGATCTTAGGTCAGGTGAAATATTTGTATATCTCCTCCCTACCCCTCTGTTCATGACTTGGTAAAATAAAGTGACCCACAACATTTTTACTGAAGATTGATGAACATAAAGTCATCACAATTTTTTTTTTAACATAAACACACAAAATTTACCATATACCTGTTGATGGGAGTATTAGACTTCTTTATTTAAGTTTGCTTTTGTAGGTAACCTAAGAAATCTATTAATGCCTGAGCTGAAGGTTTTAATTGAGGATAAATCCACCCATCATTAACAAAATCATGTTATAAACTTTTATTGCCCGTATTACCTTGAAAAGCTCAGGATGATTAGCACTTAAATAATGACTTTTATTTTAACTGGTGAATGCAGGGTTTTTTGTTGTTGTGTTGTTACCTGGATTTTACTGATTTTTTAATATCTTAAGTTACACTGCCTAGAGTATTTGAATACACACTGAATACTTCAGATATTATTCTTTTGAGGCTGTTTAAAATAATCACACTCTCCTGTAGACCCAAAGGGGCAACTAACCATTGAATTGTGCCTTTCAGAACCCATACCTAAGACTGATGGCTTTACACAGGCCTCAGGGATAGGTTGAGTAGCCTGAAAAAGATGATGGACCTTGTCTTAGTTACTTTTCTCATTGCTGAGAGAAAATACCTGACACCCAAAGTTAAAAAAGGAAAGGTTTATTTCAGCTCACAATTTGTAGAGGTTTCAGCCGTAATGAGCTGGCTTCAGGGCAGGGTGGCATGGCAGAGGGGCACTGTAGAGGAGAAGCAGTTCATGGCAGAGCAAGGCAGGCAGAAACAAGTGAGCGGAGCAGCTTCTTTCGTCCCTTTATATTTTGCCAAGGCTACCCCCTCCCCCAGGGAGGATAGCACTCAGGTCTAGAGTAATTTAGGGATCAGACACCCTTAATCCCAGCATCGGACATCCTGTCTCCAGCCAGCTCTGAGAAAGCCTCATCTGCACCACATGAGACTCTGGAGGGCTATTCAGACACAAGCCATAACAGTCCTCCACTTTGGTGGTGCAGGGCACACCTTCTCACTTTTATAGGCTGCTCATCCTCTGACCTATTTTAGTATGTGTTTTTCTTTAAAATGCTAATTTAGGTCAGATGCTTTTCAGAAGATCCTGCCTAATAAACCCTTCTTTTTCTCTTAAGTATCAGCAAAAGTAATGACACCTCATCTCAGTCTTTTATCCTAACCAGAGCTAACCTCTCTGGTTTCCTGGGGTTCCACTTCTGCCACATCATCTTTCTCCCAAATTAGGAAACAGCTTGCTTCCTGCTTCTGGTAACTCTTTCTTCTCTCCTTCCCGTCACTTCAGCCTCACTCTCTCGGAATGCTTCTTCTGTCCAGTCTTGAAAGCATGCACAGTGTGGCTTATTTTAATCTTGTGTTTCTTTCAGTTCACCACCCTACTTTTTCTCTTCACTATTTAACAAGGATTCTTGTAATAAGAAACGTATCACAATACTGACTTCTTTCCTTGCTCTTAATTCCTTTATCCATTTTAGAATGGCTTCTGTCCAAAGAACCCGTCTTTGATGACATCATTAATAATTTTTAACCCTGCATCCAATCACAGGCCCTTCATGGCATGTGATGAGATAGTAGAAGTATGTATGAAATATGCTAACTGTGCTGAAATCAGTCAACAGGCCTGGTGTTACTGGAGAAGGGCTTAATCTGTCAAGCATAAAAATGTATAAAATTGGGCCAGGAATTTAGCTCAGTGGTTCCGCCGCCTGCCTCACAAGCCCAAGGTCCGGAGTTTGATCCCTGGTACCAAAAAATAGAAATATATAAGATTGCCAATTGCCTCTAGACTTTGTGAATATTTATTCATGAGTGGAGAGTTGTAAATTTCTGAGTTGGTTTTTAATGCTTCTCACTGGCCTTAGATTTACGTTCTCATGAGTAGGACTAATAAAAATGGGGTTGCAGTGTTGTCCTCTTCAATGTTACCTAACAGGATTTGGCTCACGTTGTAAAATATTTACCTAAAAGCTTCATCTGAATCCTGAGAAAATTTTGATTAGCGTGAGTGTAATTGCTTTGAAAGGGTATGCTAGGTCAAGTGAAATATGTACAAGAAAAATGTATTCTGATTTGACTTTTGTTGCTTTGTTTTAAAGTTAATTTCTTTCTGATCTTTTACAGAGTGAAGTAATTGGGAAACTTCAGTTGAGGACAGCAGAAGGCATTGTATTATATTTTGCCAAATTAAAGCCTTATTTATGTTTTCACCCTTTCTATGTCAGAAACACTGAACAGAGTTTTGTCTTTTCTAATCTTGTTAGACTACTGATTTAAAGAGAAAAATTTAAAGAGAAACCAACTCTGTAGACACCTTCAGAATTTAGTTTTATAATAAAAACTGTTTGAATAATTAGACCTTGACATTCCTGAAGATAAATGTGTACTATTTTACCTTGTTCAATTCAATTGTTCAGAAGATCAAAGTGGTAAAGACAATGTAAAATTTCACATTTTAATACTGATGTTGTACACTGTTTTACTTAACACTTTGGGGGAGTAACTGCCTCTGACATCAACTCAAGACACTTTTGTTGCTAAATGTAATCAGTTTTTGTAATGGCAGTCAGCAAATAAAGGGATGCTTATTATTCAAACTTGAGTTAGCCTAATTCTCATTGTGCTTTATCAGAGTTCATTAGCTCTACAGGTGGACATAATTTAGAACACAATCACAGCCATCAAACAAGATGAGTAAGTCTTGTTACTTAGGTAACCTTTCCAGTTGGAGCTGTGGGTCTTCTCTGCTGCTGTGCTGTGTAAACTGTGACAAGTGTGCTGTGGGTTACAGGAAGGATGGAGCAAAATTTAGGATTTCAGATTTAATACCCCACTCCTAGTACAGGAATTCTATTTTACTTTTACTGCTACTATTGATTTTAAAGTAATAATAACTAACTTTAGTTTTCTTTTGCAGGCACGTATTACAGAGTTTAGATGGCTTTGTTGATGAAAGTTTTTAAAAATAATTTGGTACAACACTGTTCTTTTCAGGTGACAAATATTTTGTGCCATTGTACCTTGGAGGCTACAAAATAGTATCATTCCTGTTTCTTGAACATAATAGTCATGCTTCTGCCACAGGCACTGTGCACTTCCTTTTCTTTGCTAAGAACTCTTCTTTTGAATATCAGCTTTTGTTTGCTTGTTTACCATCTTGAAATCTGCTTAAATAATACTTTTCTTATAAGATCTTTTCTGACCATTCAGTATCCCCTCTACCCTACTTCTTCGGCTTCATTTTTATCTGTAATACTTAGGGTTCTCTAACAGATAGCCTTGTTCCTCCCCATCCCGCCACCAGCAAGTAAGCTCTGTGAGGGCCAGAACCTTCTTTTTGGGTTCTTTGCTGTATCTCTGTTCCTGAGAAAGTGTTGATACTTGTGCTCAAATATTAAATAAATGAATGGATGAAATTCAGTTTTAGACTCGAGGATTAACTCAAGTGGGGCCTCCTAACTTTTTTTCTCTCAGCACACATACCAAATTGAATTTCTAAAGTATCCAGAGATAAACTGAAGAGGCTGCCCATTACCAGTGGTGACTGCCTTGGGGATTCAGGTCACCTTGGCCCTTCGGTGCAGTAAGCCCCTTGCAAGCAGTGATCACAGAAGGCTACACTACCACCTCCAGGTAAGTCAAGAGATGACTGTTCATGACCCCATTCATCACCAAGGCCCCCAGAGAAGGTAGGACAATGGGAAAGCTAAAAAACAAGTAATGAAGCTGCCACTAAGCTGCCAGTAGCCTCGTGTGAACTGAGGGCACGGCAGGTGGGAAACAAGTTCTTATACTGGGCTGCGCTGGACTTTTGTTTATGGAAGGTAAAGGAGAAATGGGGATCTGTTCAGGATGAGAGGTGAGGTAGGCTCCGCAGAGCAAAGTTGAAGACTGGTTGGGAAAAGAGACCACATTCAGGCTGTTCTACAAACTGGTAGATTTTTCTCATTTCACTCAATTGTTGGTCATCTGTACTTTCGTAGACAATTGGACATTTAATATTCATCAGCAGAATTCTATTAATGACATCACTTGTACAGATTATCATACCAGACTTTTTCCCCTTGGAATAGGGCCTCACCGTGGTGTTCAGGCTGGCCTTGTAGTCACTTCATAACCCAGGCTGTCCTTGAACTCGTGATCCTCCTGTCTCAGCCTTTTGAGTGCTGGGATTACATGTGTGCGCCACATTTTAAAACAGTGACATTAGTTCATTTAATTTTTACGAAATGTTGGGATGGGAGAAGAGTGCTTACATCTTAGGACTTTATAAGGTCTTAGCTTCTAAGAGGAACCAAGATTCTGACCCTCAACTTAAGCTGTCTGGCTTGATTGCCATATTTAGATTCATTTATAGATAAATATACATTCCTATGTATGTGTGTGTAAATATAAATGTATTTTAAGTTGCTAGAATTTTTCACACTATAAGTAGAAAATCAGTAATTTTCACTATAAGACTATATTTGTTTTTGATGTTAATATACATTTTCCATTTTGCCTTTTCCCTTCATTGTACTCTTTAAGGGATTGTCTACCTCAGTGGTTCTCAAAAGTGCAGTCTGTAAACCACTGGGCATCCCCATCCAGGGGCTTTCAAGCTCACAACTTACAGGGTGAGATATATTTTCCTTTTTCACCATACTGACATCTGATGGTGTCTGAGCAAGTCTCAACCAGACTTCAGATGGTGCTAGTGTACTGGTGCTGCATTTTTAGCACCACTCACTTCCAGTGAACAGTATCAGAGTCACCTGAGAACATATTTGCTGATCTATAGAGGTAGTAATGAATGTGAGTTTTTGATATGTGTAATGAAACGTCAACATTTGGAAGATCTGTATGACTCAGTTAACCAGTATTTTCTTTCCATTGTTAAAAAGTCCCACATGGAGGGGCCGGGGATTTAGCTCAGTGGTTCCGGCGCCTGCCTCACAAGAGCAAGGTCCCGAGTTCGATCTGCGGTACCGAAAAAAGTCACACATGGATAAAAGAAGCCTTCAAAGAACAAGATAAACCAGTGAGTCTGTAACAGAGGGCACAAAGTTCCTGATAGTTTCCAATTCCAAATTGTGATGAAAACTTGCTGAGGTTGGTCATAGCATCAAGGACTATCCATAATTATCTGAAATGGTTAACTCTTTCCAAGGACATGGCTGTGAGAGGCCAGATTTTCCTCATATATTTCAAATAACTAAACTATCAAATTGAATCCAAAAAGTTGCCTTATTAAGCCATATATTAAAGAATTGGAAACATGTAAAGCCGTGCCACTGTCCTGTATAATTGTGGTTATACTTTCCTGTTGGGTATTTTATTTAAAGCAAGATATCTGTTCAACCAAAGTAACCTATATTAATGTGTCTAATTTGTTAAGGTCAGTTCAGGATTCTCAGACCATACTTTTGGGGCCATGGGTAGAGCCTCCTAGCTCTTCTGGTTTTCTCCTCTATAACTTGTGTCATCTGCCAGGTTGGCTCATGGTCTTTGCTGGACCACTTGGCTTCCCTTAGAACCACAGGGACATTTCCCTTTTTAGTGACCCCCCTTTTACAGTCTTTCTGTTCAGGAAGTTGGTGACTCATTGAAGTTGTAGGACTCATTAGAGGGATCCAGTCACATCCTGGCTTCTGGCTGATCTTGGGGCCAGGGGGCAAGGGGCAAAATATTGGTGTCCCCTTTGCCCAGTTACCTTTTTACCTTTGGCCTCTTAATCCTCAGTTGTTGAGCATCTAGCAGGTCAGTTACAATAGTACTGAGGTGGGATCAGTAAGTTCAACTGTGATTTACTGGATATTGAGCCCTCTGAAGTACAAAGTCGGGCCAGAGAACTATTACTTCTTTTACCAGTCATGGTTGTCTTAGAAGTCAAATTTCTGTGGAATGTTAACAGGTAACAGTTACAAAGTTTTTCAAGGAAAATTTGAAATCAAGAGCAAACATTGTAGCACAGCAATCATGAATTACATTAGAACTATTAGGTTTTTGCTATTATCGCTCAAATTTAATTTTCTGTTTTAGTATAGAGTAATTTTTAGTTGGTTTCCTTTACCTAATAAGATATGAAATGACAAACTTTCCCCTAAACATTTTTTAGCAACATGTCTTTTAAAATAGAATGTACTTGTTTTCAGATATACTTAATAGTTTATTGATCAACTATATAGTGTTTGTGCACATGTAACTATAATTATACAATTACATAATCATATAAATGTAAAATTAGAAAAGTCCATCGGTAAACAACTTTTGTTTGGAGGTCAGTATGACGTGACAAAATATTTTTAAGTTTCACATCCTAGTTCGCTTGTACACTTGGGAAACAGATACATTTAATATACCATGAGATTAGTAATAATTAGCATCACAGCTATACAAAAATCTTTACATATATTTCCTTGGTTTTTACTCTTAAAATTTAATTACTTTAAAAGGTTTATATGGTATAACTGCATTGGTATAATTAAAGTACATTAGTAGAGCTCTTACAAGTTTAGGAAACAATGTTAATAAGTACAAATAGACTTACTACCCAGTATATAAGTGTATCTCCTTTATATAGCAAAATGCTTGTTTGATCAAACCCAGTGCACATAGATCAAATTTTGAACAGCAGGACCAAATTTAAAGAGATACCAGAATATTTTATCATTTTATATCCCTAAGTCCTAGATGTAATGTGTATTATATAAAAGAGCATTTAGTGCATGTATTAAGCTTAACTTTAAAAGCTTAGTTTTACAGCATGTTTTGCCTTCAGATGGATATACATTTCTAATTGCATATATATAGTGCTATAAACTAAGCTTAATAATTGTTTATTTGGACAGTCATAATCTGAGTATTGAAACCATTTGATAAGTCAACATTTGAATTTAATTTTAGTTTACCTAACCAAAGAACTAACAAATATAAAACATTTTTATCTACTTTTTGTAAACTGAACTAAGAGTATTTTCTTTTTTCTTTGTTTTAATGACCAAAGAAGGGAATAACAGTAATTACATTGTGTACTGTTATCTTCAAAGTAGTTACTCAGTATAAGGCATAAACCAAAAAGATTCTTTAAAAAAGGAAACAACAGGTAATAACAAATTTTGTTTTCAGCAAACTAAAACTTCTATTATAAATAAAACCAATTTGTATATATGTTGAAATATTTTTAAAACAACAAAATATGTAATTGGGGAAGTATTTGAAGTTTCTCCCTACTTCCTCTTTGTCACTTTTCTATTTTCCTCTGTATTTAGAAAACTTAACCCTTTTCATTGAAGCCAATTTAAGCATAATAATTTCTTTAATAATATTTGTTGGGGTGTCTAAGACTGGGGAAAAACTGGAGAAGCCGCTCTTCAGTGGAGAAAGCTGCAAAACTTCATTGAGGCAGCTGTGTTTTAGCCATAGAGAGGCATTTTGTTCAGTAAATCCCCAAGCCCAATGTATAGAGAACAGGGGAAGGGGACGTTACCAGAACCTCTGCAGTGAGTCCTGGTCTCCTGCGAGCCACGGCAGCACACGGCGAATGACAGCAAAGGTAGACAAATGAGACTGAGAAGAAGCTGAGCTTTGGGTCTGATCAGTGCTGCTCCGGGCAGCCCGCAA